GGACTCGCCGCCAGCTGGGTAGGTCTGGGAAGCACCACCGGCAGGGTAGGTCTTCGATTCACCACCGGCAGGGTAGGTCTGGGAAGCACCACCGGCGGGGTAGGTCTGGGAAGCACCACCAGCAGGGTAAGTCTGAGAAGCACCACCAGCAGGGTAGGTCTTGGACTCGCCGCCGGCCGGGTACGTCTCGGTAACGGGGCAGACTAATCACTTTGTTAGAACATATACAAGATAGGGACATATCTCCGCCATCACATACCGGTAACGGTGGTCTCAATGACAGAGGTGACGGAGCCAACAGGGCAGTTGGTCACAGTAGGGGCGCAAGACGTGACAGTGTAGGTCTTGGTCAAGTATTGAGTGCTGGTGGTGTAACCAGCGGGCCAGCTACCCGAAGGGTAGTCAGAAGGCGAGCCCGAGGGGTACCCAGAGGGGTATCCAGATGGGTAACCAGAAGGCTTTCCAGATGGGTAACCAGAAGGCTGTCCAGATGGGTAGCCCGAGGGAGAGCCCGAAGGATAGCCAGAGGGCTTGGAAGGGTAGCCCGATGGGACGCCGGATGGGTATCCAGAGGGGTATGCGGAGCCGGTCGGGTATCCAGAGCCACCGGTAGGGTAACCCTCCTCCTCATCGGGCTCACACTCATCCTCATCATCACCCTCGGGGTATCCGCTGGCAGGGTAGCTGGGGGTGGCAGCCGGGTAAGAGCTGGTGGGCACAACAGCCGGGTAGGAAGAGGCGGAGGAAACGGCGTAGGTGCTGGTCTCCTCACAATCATCCTCAGCAGAGCTGGTCTCGTAGCGAGTAGCGCTGGCGGCAGCAATCAGCAGAGCGCCGGCGGCGTATTGTGTAAATCGAACCATTTTGACAATTCCAACGTTTTGACGAGCGAGTGACTAAAGTTGAATCGACCAAGGCAACCTTCCAAGAAATCGCAACCAACGACGGCGAAGTGTTCAAGACTGAGGTGTGAGTGAGATCAAGAGGACGGGCAAAATGAGTGGCAGCTTGCCGTCATGTTAAATACTGAAAGAAGCTGGAGATGCCGGAAGACGGGTCAAAGGCCCCCAGCCGTTCAGCTGCATACTACCGCATACTACTGAACCCGAGCCTGTGGACCAGGATCCATCGTTGGCACCCAGTCTATTGTGACAGGGGTACAATCTAGCCTTGTCAATATTGGAAAGCGAACAAAAAAATAAAAATAAAAAATAAAAAAACGGACAGCGGCTTTCTTGGTCGGCTGGTTGAAGCTCTCCTCCACACGTGTAGGCAAACCTTGGCTGGCTAGTCAGGGGTGCATGCGCGGCCGTGGACAAATGGGGAGAAGTCCAGCCACGCCTCGTTCTTCTTTAGGCCTAGAAGCTGGAATCTTAGGCCTGGTTGCTGTACGATCAGGTAATCTCCTCTTTCGTTGTGGATGTTTGCTCACTTGCGATTGGCTAAAGCTTGTAGTGACGAATGCACAAATTCTGACTATGAGGTCAACTTCTGCGAGCTTTTTTCCCTCCTTTCTCGTGTTCTTGCAGGTAGAACCGGATTTTCTGTCGGCTGTATCTGTACCTGGCCCTGGGTGCTGCGCCGCTAACCGTCTACTAATGCCTGTGTAGTGAGTGTTTCTTGGAAGGATGATCGCTTCTACAGAGTTGACCTAAGGCTTGCGGGCCGGTGTAACCATCCGCGACTCAGCAACGACTCGGGATCATTAGCATTCGCAATGACTGATGTTGGAACATGCGATAGACTCGCGGTATGCAGCTGCACGGCTGATACAGTGAGCCTAATTAGGATTCGACATTCAGGGACAAAAGGAACTTCTTCAGCATTTACTTTTCTGTGCCTGGCCAATGTCCACTGGCAGATCACTACAGCCACTGCAATTACCGTGCCGTCGCTTTGGACGTTGGTGTGTTCTAGTCGAAAACCACCTCCACAATAGTCGTGCGCAGTGGCGTGTCTCTCTTGGGCCCAACAACGCCCATGCGTTATGATTCCGTCCGAAGCTTGTTGGCAGAACCGCACACTGACGACCCGCAGGCGATTGCGGCTTCCTGCTCGGTTTGCCGTCTCTCAATCTCTTTGCCCCTGACTGACACTATATTTGTGTATCGGCCTCGATTGGTTTTTTTTGGCTTTTGTGCCTTTGACTTTGTGCTAGCAAACGAAGTAGAGCATTGAGTTGATTGTGACTTTGCCTCCTCAGAACCAGGGAGTAATGCTGCATGAATAAATCTGTATTGGACAAGCGATAACCGGTGGCCCAAGGAATAGCGATAGAGCCGCCCAAAGCCGTCTGACAATGCATATTGACATGGTACAGAGTAGATACGAAAGATCCACGCCTTACTTGCTTGGTCTTGACAACACGGAAGATCCGGGTAGATCTGCCATTGACAACACGAGACTGGATGGCTTCTGCCGCAGCCAAGCAATGCGACCGGCCGAACCACGATTCTCATGAGGCTCTCTTATGAATTATCAAGTAATGTCTTTTATTGGAATATAATCTTTGATTCTTCAAAAATCATCCGATCATTGGACATGGGTGTCCTCAGAGCCAAGAGCATTAGGCCTTCCAATTGTATGAAGCCTGGACCATGTTTGTTCTGGCCAGTAGAGACCAGCGACGACCAATTTTAGATTCTTCATAGCCTTCTTGGAAGTTTGGGGTCCCGACCCTGCAGGCTTGCAAGAAGCTCAAGTCGTGGATTATGGTGAATACGGAGAAGTGGGACATCATTACCGCAAGTCTCCTGCCGTCTAGGAGAGTCAAGAAGAATATGCATTTCCGGAGTCCGGTTTGTGTTTGGATTGCCGGGCTGTCAGTTCGCGTTGGTCCGATAGTGTAGTGGGTGCAATTCTTGGCTCGTAACGCACAACCGAGCAACAAGCACGCACGCCATTTTGTGACCGCTTGCAGGAAAACCGTTGTCACTGCACACCAATGTAAGCAGCTGTGCGTGATGCCAAGGATTCCAGAAGCAAGATGACTTTTTCAGGACTTGGGGTAGCACTCGCTGACCAAGAACGAACCGCGTGTAGACGCATTCGGCATAGTCAAGCAGTTGATTCTCGTATGGGATCGCACTGAATCGCCCGGTACTCGAATCGAAGAGTTCTTGGGATCAGCAACATGGTAAAGACCACTTTGGATAGATTTGCTGAGATCGATTTGCACCCGGAACTCCATAGATTGGTGTCCCTTTTTTTTTTTTTTTTTTTTTTTCTAAAATTGGATAGTAATGTTATGATGGGGTTTTCCGATGTCTCTTTTCAGCGTTCTTCCTGTCTGGTGGGGTAACACTGACTTGGATTCTTACTATCCTGGGTCTTTGTGGAAATGAAGCACATTTCCTGATCGGATCCCACTCGGAGGTCTGCAGGGTCTGGCCGTCTTGTCGTGATTTGCACAGACTTGCAGGTTGGAGAAGCCAAGGCCAAGAGAAGGAGACCTCCGATTGACCCCACCCCCCTGCTAGTGAGATCTGATATGTGAGGCAGGGACGGATGAGAGAGGTTGGCAGAACTGGGGACTCTCTGCCAAGGCAACAGACCTCCCTCCAACAAGTGAAGAGCTAATGCCCCTCCTCTGCATTGCTTTTTATCCTGCTGGTCAAGCTCAAGCCAGTAAAGAAAAAAGTCAATCCCCCCCGCCCAACGCGATCTGCGCCCCAGAGATGCAGAACTTTTCTATCAAGTGCGGCTTAATGGTGGCTTAGATTTGGATAGCGTTCCGGATTATCTATATTTCCTGATGCTTCTCGTCCTTCACCTCGGGCATGTGCCGAGTTCCCTCCTGCTATGGGTGCGCGGCTTATCGGCACGTCAAATGACGTTGTTTTGTTGCCGACAATAGCAGAGAAGCTCCCTCTTATGGGGCCGCTGTCATCTTGCGAAAATTGCAACTTGGTACGTCCGCCAAGCATGGAAACTTTTTGAGTATTTTTAAATCCTGTGGTTTTCTGCGCTCGCACTTTTGAGCAAAAACCAACAAACTACCGCCAGACCATCAGCACTACGAGGATTGACGTATTGTCTTGTCGATTGCTCCGATCCGATTCCACGTGGTTTGCCGGCTCCTTTCCCCTCGCTCGCTTTCCCCCTCGTGTGGAACCGACACATCACTTCTGTGGGCTCTGGTAACGCGTCCGCCTTGGCACTCATCATCACTCGGTTTGCCTTCACCCCAAGCTTGGCATCAGACTCCCCCAGCAGGGATTCTGCACAAGCAAGCAAGACAGGCAAGCCACAACATCGCTTCGACTAGAGGCACGGTAGTCTTTTGTTTCCTTACGATTCAGCCGCCCCCGGGCCAAGTCGTCCGTGTCTGCGACCGACCGCGTCGTCCCGTTGCCCTGAGACAACGCGACTCTGACATCATTGGTCTCCTCGGTCAACATGTCCACCAACGGGAATGTTGCTCCACATGAATCCGTAGAGCCCAACACGAAGGGACCGGATGGGCCGAACACGAATGGAGTCAATGGCCAGCACTTGTCCGACGATCATCAGCCGGCGCCGACCTCTGAGAAACCTCAAACTAATGGGGCCGATCAGGGGCTGCAGCATTCATCCTCCCGCCATAGCACAGCAGACATCAAGGGCAAATTCAATGAGCAGAAGGAAAAGATCAAGACCAAGGCAAAGCCGCCTGGCGGCTTCGACTCCACCCCGGTGCCCGATGCCCCTCCCGGCTATACCGTCAAGTTCATCTTTCATGAGGCAACCAACCTCCCTGTCGCCGATATCAGCACCGGAGCTTCGGATCCATTCATTGAAGCTACACTGTACACAGCACTGCCAAAACGACACAAGGAAGACCCAAACCTGGTTCACCGGACGCCTACCATCAGGCGTACCACTGAGCCCAAATGGGAGGACGAGTGGGTAGTTGCCAATGTTCCGGCGTCCGGTTTCAAGCTCAAGTGTCGCTTGTACGACGAGGATTGGCCTGACCACAATGATCGACTCGGCAACGTCACAATCACCGTCCCCCGGGTAGATGAGAGCTGGCAAGGCTTTTCGCGCCAGGAGTTCCAGGCTAAGAAGCGCTCCGGAAGTAAAAGAGCCTACTTGCTCAAAGCCGTCACCAGCGCATTCGAAAAGGATGTTTCCATGACCCCCAATCTCTTTGTGAGCATTCAGGTCTTGGGGAAGTCTGATTCTCAGCCGCATGCCCAGATGTACACTGTTGGCCCAACCTTTTACTACAGACATTTCTCTCCGATGATTGGCCGCATTGCTGGCGTTCAGGTCAACCGAAATGAAAGCGATGATTCTCAGGACCATGACCCTCAGGCCGATGGCGGCCATGAAGACCGGTCACAAGAAAAGAAGACCCAAAAGTATGACTTTCAAGCCATTGAGCTCCAACTGCAAGGACCAGTCCCAACCAAGCTGTACCATCGCTACGTCGAATTTAGACCCTTGATAGGTCTCATGTTCAGTCGCAAGGGTCTCCGTGGTCGCGTTTTGCACAAGGCCTTGACCCATCAACACAACCGCATCTACAACTTTGACAGCTCCACCGAGTATGGGACATTCAAGCCGTGTTCAGAAGAGGCAAGCTTGCAGTTTTTGAAGCTGGTTCACTTTGATCAGGGCGGCAGGCTCTTTACCTACGTCCTGACACTTGATGGCTTACTCCGCTTCACAGAGACGGGCAAAGAGTTCGGAATCGACTTGCTGAGCAAACACACAATGCACTCAGATGTTGCCACATACATTGCTTGCTCGGGCGAATTTTTCATCCGCAGACTGAAGAAACCCACAGCTTCGGAGGACCCAGAGCCGGACCAGCCCACACATCCCTCTGAAGATCTGCCCGGTGGTCCGCCAAATGAAGCGCCACCCTCCAAGCCTGAATACTACCAGCTTATTATTGATAACGACAGTGGCACTTACCGGCCTGACAAGTCAGTTCTACCTGACCTGCAGAAATTCCTCGAAAAGAACTTTCCTGGTCTAGGTGTTGTCACACTCGGTTGCGACGACGACGAGGACCAGAAACTTAAGGAAGCGCAGAGGGCAATCAAGAAGAAGGAAGGCCAGAGTGTGCACATGGTCCAGAACCGCAGCCCAAGTACCAGCTCCTTCAGCTCCGACGATATCAGCGACTTGGACGAGATGGATGGCGAGAATGGGCGCCAGAGCAAGAAAGAGAGGATGTGGAATATGATGGAACAGGAGGATCCTTTGAAGCACCTCAAAAACGAGTTTCGCCCCAAAGGCGAGAGCTCTGCCAGCGGAGCAAACCAGGCTTCCCAAGCTTAATAATTTCTCCATTCTCGTTCACCCACTTTACGATGTTGATCATCGTGGGTAGCAAGCAAGGACCCCGGCGTTGATGTTTTCAGATTCCCGACACTGCAAAGTTCTGCATTGGTTTTGTTTTGTTTTTTTAAGATATCCTTTGGTCGTTTTCCATGATCATGATACCTCCTTTACCTATAATGTTCGCACCACATATTTCAAGTCGCCGATGAGACTTTGCGTTGTACCAAACTTAATATACATCTTCTACTTGTCGTTATTTTTTTTTTTTTGGGACACATTTGCTCGAATGCTCTCTCTCCAATACTGGCAACTTTCATTTGGAATACGACCTGTGATTTATATCGGCCATTGGATGGTTTCTGTTGTGTTCCGGCGCAAAGCGGTAACAGTCATTTGGCAGGCGACGCACAATCCTTGTTTCTCCATATTCCCGAATCATCGGAGGTATATTTGAATATAATACAACAACGTCGTCGGCGACAGACAAATGTAATGACAATAGGCCAGTTGCTTTTGGCCTATTCGATCGGTCAGTATGAACTGCGCCACTCTAGTGGGAAAGCTTCACGACGAAATGAATTCAGCTTAAAACACACAACTACCGTTGCTATTCCATAAGCTTGAGACTCAAAGATGATGTGACTGTATGTACTATTTCAGCACGTTATTGATATCACTAGGGTTCGAGGGCGACTCGATCAATTTTAAGCCGCCGATATTTTCCCTATTAGAAAATGGAAGGAGGGCAATTGAGATTTCGAGACCACGACAGGTCAAAGGACTTTTGAGTGCAGTCTTGGGTGCCATATATTGTCGGCGCACAGGAGGTGAACTCAAAGGAGATATTTCTTTCGACAGCTTGGTCCAAGATTGAATAGTGAATCATATCGAGCAGCGCCATTTGTACAGACATTCTGCTGCTTAAAACGTGCGGCTACTAGAATCAGCAGTAAAAGTGCAAGCTCGGTACTCTCACCATCCTCGAAGCGAACAGCAAGGTCAAAGGCCGAGTACGCATCAAGACCAGCCATTGAATCTGCCAGTGAGGAGGTCCGATTCGCAGTCCTTGAATCCCAAGCTACAGCCCCCGCCATTGCTCGACACCCTACCAAAACACGCATTCAGCTACGAAACCTCTTCTCGATGTTCCAACACTTGTAGACAGCTTGTCGATGCCCACACGCGCCGCTCTCCGACTTGGAGAGGTACGAATGATGACGGATCCGAATCGAGGACAGTCCTCGCCCTCCTCACCCGAACCAGCGCATAGAACAAGCCGATTGCGCCATCGCAGCCGTCATCACCAGCAATCGCAGCCTCAGAGACCCTCCCGCACGGACTCGGAGTCAAGTCAGGGTTATCCCGTTCGAGAATCTTCCGCAAGTCATCACAGAAATACTCAGCGCCGGCATCGCCATCGCCATCACCATGGCGTCTCGGGCGACAACCAACCCTACAAGCACAGTCATCATCGGTCCAAGGCACATTACTCCACCTCGCGAAGCCCACTTCGCGGCCGACGTCGACATTCCTCGCGACACAGAAAACACGAACCATCCAGCGGCACTCACGACAACCGTAAACGCAACTGGCGCAAGAGGCCATATTCCCATGATCGCGGTCTCCTCGATGTTCTGACCGAGCTCGTCGGCCACGGCGAGCATGGCCCAGATGTCGCTGCCCTGGCACAACTGGCGGACACCTTTGGCGAGCTCATCGTGCAAGGTCTTGTCCACAAGCTCGTAGTGGAACTCGAAAACGGTCTGCTAGAGAAGATGCTCGTGGACTATCTTAAAGATCTTGTCAGGAGCTCAGTGAGAAGAGGCCTAGGCAAAGGAGCCCGCAAGACGGCCGGACGGAGCAAACGCGACAGAGATGGTGATGATGAACAGGATTGGAAGAAAGCTTTGCTGAAAAAGGCTTTTAGGACAGTGGCCAAGAGTTTGACAGAGACGGAGCGGTAGTAAGGAGTCTCAATGCACCTAGTAATGGCTTCATGAGAAACTTGTTCACTGTTACAATGCACACACTAAACTATCGAGTTGAGTGGTGATCATGCCGAACTGTCAGAGGAGACAGGAAAAGACGGCACGGACATTTCTTCTTCGCCAAAAATAAAATAAAATAAAAACGTCCACGACCATGACGCTATTTTGACACTTTTTATCATGATATTAGGAACGAACCTGATATCATACAGCCATCAAAGCCTTGTAAATTGACCTTGCAGAGTTTGCACCACTTCTGACAGTTTCATATAATAGACAACCATCATTTGATGAAGCAACACGGATAGGCATTACCTTCCCTGTCAACTTTCCTGGGAACTCGGCCAATTCATAAATGCTTTGTACTATCCGGTCCATTTGTGCGGGGAACTGGTGTCAACAATCCATACCTGAATGCCATGTGGTAGATGTCGGTCAATCGTGCATCAGTAGGTATCCAAATGTAGAAAGCTCCCCGATGCCATACTGCTCTAAACTCCAAATCCTGGTTGAATACTGCAGGCGGTTTGACTGGTCGCAGTGACATTTAAGGTATCGGGCTCCATGGCTGCATGCTTGGACTTTCGGGACAGCATTCCATTGGTGGGCGGATGGGTGGAGGCATGTAAGACACCGCCTGCAACCAGGTTGACCAGCACTAAACCTTTGATATATCAACAGTGACCAAGTATCTCCTAGTCCATTGAGGTATGCAGGTATAACGCTTCAAACACCTGTGGAGCACTTCCTCGGTCATGTCCATGAGATCATGCTATCGTTTGATATATATGCTCCATATCTCCGGGGAAAAAAAAAAAAAAGTATGCGCGATAATCGCCCGACGGATCTCAATCATTATCAATTGCTTGATGTTCTGATTCCTCATTCTATCCGCTGCTAGCGACGATCTGCTTCCCTGTCACCAAGACATGGTGGCGCCCCACTTTAGCTATTCTTCAGCGGCGGATGCTAGGATCTCGACCTCATAAATACCCTAGGTAGGTAAGGTATGCATGGATTTCAAAGTCCCGCGACCTGTCATCTACTATCTCTCGATCCGGGGCTATCATCACTGGCTATTAGAGGAACGAAAGCATGTCCGACCTGTCCGGAGTTGAAGGCGCCAAGTCGCCTTTTGAGTCTCGCGATGATAATAGTGGCGCAACCTCTGTTCTAGTCGATACAAATCCATCCTCGGCAACCGACACACCGGGATTGCTTTCAGTGATTGAAAGCACCGGATCGCAAGAACGGGAGCTTGTTAGCAACCACGGTGAAAACAATATTGATGGCAACCAAAATTCTGTACCAGTGCAAAACGCCACACCATCACAAGATGATGCAGAACTAGAGTGGACAGCCGCTCCAATGACCCCGGATTCCATGGCAGATGAGGATCTGACCACGACAAGTCTTTCTGTTGAAGGCGGTGCACCAACTGGGGTTGACCACGTTGCTCTGGAAAGCCCATCATCACCCCAAGAGTCCGGGGCCGCCGTCACCATTGACCCCGAAACGTCCCAGAGCCCGGGTGCAAGCTTGCGATATAGTCAAGAAACGCCTGACACAGCCCTAGACTCGGATGGCCATGGATCAGCACCTGATCAAAATGAGCAGCCCCAGGAATCCCCAACGATCTATGGATTCATGCCAGATGAGCCTCTCGAGGTAGACGAGCGGCTCTTGAAATATGCAGCAACTCGCGCGAACGTGTCGGCGTCGCATACGGTAGATTCTCAGTCTTGGGTGCCAGAAGATTTCTTTCGCCAACCAACTGGATCCACAGTCGCCGAGCCCGAGTCCGTCCTGGGCCGGTCTGGCAGAACTTATCACGGATTCAAGGAAGGCAAATATTTCATGCCAAATGATGGTGTAAGTTTCTGGGTCGCTATATTGCATGACTAAGCTACTTTACTGAGAATATCGTGCAGCAAGAACAAGATCGGTTGGACTTTCAGCATAGAGCTTTGACAATCCTGATAGATGAAAGGCTTCATGCTGCACCCCTAAAGAATCCAAAATACGTCATGGACATTGCAACAGGTACTGGTATATGGGCTATGGACTTTGGTAAGTTTACATGTCCAATAACGATCCAGCTTGTTCACGTATGTTAAATATATTCCCCTAGCTCAACAATACCCTGAATCCAAGGTCATTGGTGTAGACTTGAGCAAGATCCAGCCCAAGAATGCTCCTCCCAACGTCGAGTTCATCAAGGACGACAGCGAGGAGCCATGGGTGTTTCCTCACAAGTTTGATTATGTGCACGCGCGGGCGGTCTTTACCTGCTTTAACGATCAAAAGGCGGTCATGAGGAACGCCTTTGAAAACCTCAATGAGGGCGGGTGGATCGAATATCTCGACGGCTCTTTCATCGTTGGCTGTCTTGATGGAACCATTGAAGGTACATACCATTCCAGAAATATCTCGCCTTCAGTATTGACTATTGTGATTAGGTACTGCCTTGAAAAGATGGGGTGACCTGTTGGTCAAGGGTGGCTTGGGTCTAGGCCGGAACCTTGAAGTCACAAAGCACTTCAAAGAATGGCTGGAGGAAATTGGCTGTGAGTACCTGATATATCACCGAGACCCTCTATAGCACGAATTTGCTGACGGGAAATAAAATCAGTTGTCGATATTGTCGAGAGAAAGCTCCCCTGGGCTTACAGTCCGTGGCCGCAAGACCGACGACTCAAGCTGGCCGGGAAATTCATGCAGAGCAATATTTACGAAGGCATTCGTGGTATAAGTTTCATGTTTTTGACTGGCGCCGGCTTGTCGGAAACCGAGATCAACGATCTGATCCTCCAGGTTCGTGCTGATCTGATGAACCCCAGCATTCACGCGTTTATGCCAGTTTGGTCGGTTTATGGTCGCAAGCCATTCAACCACGAAGTCAATGCTCGGCAAAAATAATCTTGGCGTCAACTTGAGGCCAGCAATGAATGGGGCACTGTGCGCACTTGAATTCCGGATTGATCCCACAAATACACGACGTGAAGGAACCAGGCTTGCCAGGGTATACAACAAAGCGTGACGCATCTTCTCGATGGCATTGCCTCTCATCCTCATATGCTCCACAATATTCTGTACTTGCTTTTCGCTCAGAACATGCATGATGCTATGTCAAGGCAACAGACACCCCCGCATCTTCTATAATTTATACAACGTAACAATTCCATACAGAAATGTATACAACGTAGCAATAGAAAATGAGGAGTTAAACGAGTTCTGGCATGACTGGAGCGTAAGCACATGGATAGTTTTCAAAAATTCCCGAGCTGAATACATGCTTTCTATCTCCGTCATATGACTGTGCAGAGAGGTGTGCGGAGTCGGGCAAACATGGCTCGCTGCAATGTTCCCCGCGATATGCCTACCTACATATCTACTACCTAGGTACAGATCAGCTGCAGAAACACATTGATGTGACATCGTAAACGCAACTTGATCTTGACATATATACATGTCTGCATACCTACTGATATAACTTGAAAACCACGTCCTTTTGTTTTCTACCTATGTGACAGCCTTGATCTACGATTCAAGAGCACTAATACATCAATATGGTTGAATACGCAACTTACCCCAGCCTTCGTGGCAAGGTAGTCCTGATTACAGGAGCCGCCGAAGGGATTGGCGCAGCTGCAGTCGAACTCTTTTGCCGGCAGGGCTCTAAAGTCGTCTTTTTGGATTACTCCGAGTCTTCAGCACGTCAAGTCCTCGACAAGATCAAGTCGATTCCCGACGCAACGCAGCCCACGTTCTTGTACTGCGACGTCACAGACCTGGAGGCACTCAAGAGCTGTGCCGAAAAGGCTATAGCACAGCATGGAACGGTGGACGTGCTCATCAACAATGCCGGGGCCGCGGGACCAACGTCGCGCGTACCGAGCTTGGGCGTCACGCCCGAGTCTTTCGACCTGGACGTCAACGTGAACCTGCGGCATCAGTTCTTCCTCACACAGTACGTCGTCCCGGCCATGCAGAAGCAAAAGTCGGGCAGCATCATCAACTTGGGATCCATCATCTGGAGGATCCCCGAGACGCAGGCGCCCGTCTACGCTACGGTCAAGGCGGGCGTCGTGGGCATGACTAGGGTGCACAGCAAGGAGTACGGCAAGGACGGAATTCGTGTCAATAGCATCATGCCCGGGAGTGTCGCGACCGAGAGACAGATTCGCGAGGTCCTGACCGAGGAGTACGAGGCCAACACCATGAGGGCGCAGAGCCTCAAGAGACACGTACTGCCCGCGGACGTGGCCAGGTTGATGTTGTTCCTTGCGGCAGAGGACTCGAGTGCCATTACGGGCAGTAGTTACGTGATCGATGCCGGCTGGGTGAGCGATAAATAAGACAGAAACGGCATCCCGCCGAGACGAGTAGGATACATGATTTATGTTTTGTTTCTCGTACAACACAGCTAACCTTAGTAGACAGACGAGCACAGAATATAACCATCTTGCTTCTGTTAATGTCTGCTGTTCGATAGTCAGCGAACGGTTAAGGTTGACTTGATTTCCGTAGCGGTTTATTCTTGGAGATCGAACCTAGAGAAAGCAAACAGTGGGACAAAGTCAGATTACGAAGGTGTGTTCAGAGGTGCTTGCAACATTTTATAGGTAATGTATGGAAAGGAGAAGATAGTCTGTTTGGGACCATTCCTATGATATGAGGTTCTACAGTGTTGAAGTCAAGTATTGTAAATGTTGGTTTGCAATCTACCATTCCAACGGTGATACAATTTTAGATCAGTTCCACAAGGAGGTCCCTGGGCCAGTGGTTTTAGCGTGCCAACTAATTGACAGCTCCAGGCACCGACGGGGAATTTCGAGGGGGCTATGGAGGGGAGGATTTGCGCCCCACGAATCTGACCACCATCGGACGGGTCGGCCCAAAGAAGCCAGACCCTTCGCTCTGGATCGTGGGACCCGACATACGTACAGCCCAAAAAAGTCCTGCTGCTAAGCTAAACGGCAGCTCTACCTCAAACACTTGCCCCTGGTTGCTCCTGATACCCGTTTTTCTGCTCTTCGTCATGTTGGCAGGTTGAGTCTTGCCGCTCTTTCTTTGAATTCATATATTCACTTTTTTGCATTCAGCCTTTACTCTTTGCCTTTCGAATCGCGGTTCTGCCGCCGCATCCATCTCTCGACGACAGCACTTGTACACCCTGTGCCCCTGCTCTTGTTTTGAACGCAGCCTGAGACTTTCTTGTGCGATAACCGCACTGCTTCCGACACCATGGCCCGGCAACTCTCCGTCATCGTCATGATGGCCATTGCGCTATTCTTGTGTATATCCTTCTTCACATCCTTTGGTCGCGCGCCGGCCGAGACGGCCGTGTTCAGCCAGCCAGCTGATCGCTTCAATGACAACCTACCGCCGAGCGACGTAAAACCGCCGGTGAAGCCCGTCGAGGCTGTCGAGCCCGCGAGCCGACCTGCGGAACCCGTCAAGCCTGTCAAACCAGTGTTGGAAGGATCGACGGAATCCAAGCTTGCTGGACTCGAAATCACCAGCGACTTGCTCACAGGTGCTGCGATTGCGCCCAAGCTTGAAAATGCCACACTCAAGTAGGTCTTTCAGTCCCTTCCTTGGACACCCAATATGTATAAAGAGAAACTCTGACCACGTATCGTTTTTTCACAGGGCCGAACTCGGTCGCGCGGCATGGAAGGTTCTGCACACCATGATGGCCAAATTCCCCGATGAGCCCAGCGAGGACGATCAACTGGCGCTCAAGTCGTACATCCAGCTTTTTGCCCGCCTCTATCCATGTGGCGACTGCGCGAGACACTTCCAGGGCCTGCTCAAGCAGTACCCGCCGCAGGTGAGCTCGCGCAATGCGGCAGCCGGCTGGGCCTGTTTTGTGCACAACCAGGTCAATGAGCGTCTCGAGCACGAGATCTTTGACTGCAACAAGATTGGCGACTTTTATGATTGCGGATGCGGTGACGATAAAGAAAAGAAGGGCGACGAGGAGAAAACAACAGCGACGGGTGAGCTAAAGAAGGAAGGGTAAGGTTATTCGGTCGTTTCTACCTAGTGATATTGCTGTCAAAGCTAATCTCTGCCAGACTCTCACCGTAATCTAGCTCTTGATACCCCGGATATTGGCGTATGGCGTTTAAATGCTCAGGTTGATTTGTGTGCTTCCTTGGTTGACGGATTGCAACTAGACGTTTGGAATTGTATAATCCATGGTTCATCTTGCCATTAGAGCGTATCCAATTACTGAACTCTTTTATGCGGCTAACAGTCGGTGCAAAATTGATTTTGTGAAGAGACCTTCCGTCTTCAAGTCTTATGTACATTGTCTGTGAGCTGTAAGAGCCTTTTTGCAAAACAGATAATTTTACCATCATTTAGCACGGTGTAGTTCCTTGATTACCGTCGATCTCGTGGTCATATTTACTCTAGGAATTGAATGGAACGGAATGGAATGGAATGAGCACATGTTGTATTAATTACCTAGCCAATACTGTGGTTATAAGTCCGTGGTCCTTCCTACTTACATTAAGTACGGAGGAGCTCGGCCCAACAAGAAAAAAAAAGGAAGAAGAAGAAGAACTGTACAGAACACATAAAAAGAATCAGGCGTATGTCGATTCTCGAGAGAAAAAACCGTAAACATAACAATATTGTATGTAGTAGCCATCTGCTTGTAGAATGTCTTGAATATCAATGAGGCTCACAGCCTTGCTGGAAAGTGGGGGCACGGACCACCGGGTGGATGATGCATGGACGTCAACGCGTGCTGAGCTGCCTGAGCTCACTCGCTTGCTTAGAGCTTCGGTCCAGTACCAGACAACATTGAACCTCGCCAGCTTCACTACAACTTCCAAACACCAACGTTCCGTCACCCTTGCACCCGGATTTCTGCAGCATCAGCGAAGATACTTTTTCACTTTCGATTGAAAATTACGATTCCGATCCCACAGCCGCCACCATGGAGTTTGGCAACAAGGGCGTTCTGAACGAAGGTATATGAGCTTCCACTGGGCAATATGCTTGGGTAATCGTCCCTGTTGCGGAGTGCTAACTTGTCATCTTTACAGATGGCATCCACGTGGATATGGATAGATTAAAGAAGGGAGAGGTCAAGTGAGTTAATCGCATCGATTAGAACTGTCTTGCCCATACTGATCGTTTGTCCTAGCCTCGGTACCTCCATGTAAGCGCCCATCGAGGGATCACTACGCAATGTGCTTCGATTGACAAGACGGCAGTATGGCAGTCACATTCAAGGATGGTGTCATCCTGGGTAGGTCTACGCAACCAAACGAGGCAACAGCCACGGCCGAGATCCCCAACTGACATGATGACTACAGGCGCTGATTCGAGAACCACGACCGGATCTTACATTGCCAACCGAGTGACAGACAAGCTCACCCAAGTTGCCGATACCATCTGGTGTTGCCGATCCGGCTCAGCTGCAGACACACAAGCCGTCGCCGACATTGTGCAGTACCAGCTCGGCCTATTCCACATGCGCAACGGAAAGCCTCCCACGACACAAACCGCTGCATCCATCTTTCAGGAGATTTGCTACTCCAACAAGGACCAGTTGAGGTAGGTTGCATTATGCACTAGGATAGGAGAAGGGCATGGTCGGCCTGGCCTGGCCATAGAAGACAAACACTACTACATGGACATTGCTGACGATTACTTGCTTCGCAGCGCCGGTCTTATCATTGCTGGCTGGGATGAGCGACACGGCGGCCAGGTCTACTCTATTCCCCTCGGCGGCTCACTACACAAGCAGGCATACGCAATCGGCGGTTCAGGTTCGACATACATCTACGGTTACTGCGATAACCACTGGAAAGAGGGTATGGAAGAGGAGGATGCTGTCAAATTTGTCAAGGGCGCTCTCGCCGAGGCCATCAAGTGGGACGGAAGCTCTGGAGGTGTCATTCGCATGGTTGTTCTGACCAAGAAGGGCGCCGACAGACATCTATACCTCCCCGATGAGGATTACACCGTCAAGCACTAGGTGTCATATGTCTCGCTGGATTAATGAAGAGAGATGATTGTGTACGATACCTGCCGACCAGTGAAGACCAATGCGTTTGAGAGCACTGACGGCAATCGCCATTGCGGCGTATACGAATCTATAGACGAAGAGAATGTCCATGATTCTTGATCAGGTCTGTTTGAATTTCATCTGTGACTGCACACCAGGCTGCATATCTTGCCAGGACAAGGTTGTATGAATAGTCTTGGCGTGAAACATGCGATACGGCGGTGAGAGTGAGATGCAGCAAATAAGCACTCAGATTGGAAGCTCTTGCTGGACCGCTATGCAATATATATCTCCTAGTATGAGCAGCTTGGTCAGAAAATGACGAATCGGCTGTTGCCTTCCAAGGCTGACAGATGAAACCGGCGCTGCGATCCGTACCGCCATGCGCTTGACTATCTCGACTGGTGGGAATTGAAAGGATAAGAGTTCGTTGCCTACTTAGCACCAATTATAATCGATAGTACAAGAGGTGTGCTTGATGCAGGAAATGACAGCTACTGGGATGCTGGTGCATATCAAGGTAGGGAATATATTGGCTATCGACCAAAAGAAGGAATAAGGAAGTTCAGCGGTGAGATGAGAATAGAATAGTGTATGCAGTTTCCAATCGCGTGTTTTTATCGAATGCTGCAGTGGTATCGAGATTCTCTGCTGAACACCCCAATCACATCACATCAGTTCGAGCGTAATTGTCTCTCTTACTTGCTGCCGATCCTGCCTAGTGCGTATAGGTAATCCCTCGTGCACGCGTCCTGGGCCGAGATTGGATTGTTTCGGCGCTCAGCTCTGTGCATTGGCCCGCTCGCCCAAAAGGCCCAGAACACCCCCAAGAACGCTTCTTTCCCATTCCCAGACGTCTGGAAGTTGGGGGGTCGCTCGCAAATGCGGTGCCGTGCCGTGTAGTACATTGTACCAACTGAAAGTGTCCACCCACCGGGACTTGCGGTGGACACTTAAAAAAACGCATCCAATCCATAAACTCCTCGGTGGTGTGCAGCAACCTAAGCGGGGGAGAAGATGGGAAGGATTGGATAGTGTCCTATCATATCCTATCATCTAGATGTGTATAATATACGTACCTGATGGTTCTCGTCCAATCAGCCTGCTCGTCTGTGCTGGCAAAGCTGGTTTAAAGTCGTGGGTGGGATTTTCAAATGTTCCTTTCTGCCCAGATTCATGACCCGCATTGGGCGTCGGTGATGATGGGGTTTGCCTCGTCTCGCACCGCGGCTCTTTCGGAGGCGACAAAACTTGGCTTTGCCAGTGGACAGAGGAGGCTGATCTCTGCTGGAGTCGGTCATTGATCAGCAAAAGCCAACTAGCATGCTTGCTGGCAAGTTGGCAAGTTTTAAACCAGCAGCAACTTTTGGGGAGGGGCCTGGGTTTTGCGACCCCCAACATGGCAATGTTAGCAAAGTTGGAATACTGGATACTTGGACCCCTGGATATTCTTTCAGGCTGGAGTGAGTCGCGAACACCCAATCAATGGAGCTAGGGAAAAGAGTTGTGTAATAGCTGAACGCGCCGGTCGATAATTACCCGCGAACTATTTCGTCCGCGACCTGGGCCCAGGTTCTGCTCTCTTACGATTACTTGCTGATATGTTTGGTTCCAGGGATCATGGCACGAAGGATCTCATGTACGAGCAAGGGGAACTCTGTTCTTCAAGTGCCAGCTAGTTCCCAAGGAACTGGCACCGTACTCAACCAAGGCCGCCGCTTTTTGGGAATACCTAGCAGATGATAGGCGAAAGGCTCCGTGGACCTATGAGAGCAATTTCACTCTGGTGACGCCCTCTTCAAACATGCGAGTCGCACGCCATACTCGACATCTATCGCAGGGCCTTCTCTTTTAGGTCATAATGAATTGTCAAACCGTGACGGGACCCTGCGTATGTGTGTATATATGTGTGTGTGTGTGTGTGTGCTACGCACGGTATGCCATGTGAGAAGATGTACATGAAGAAGTCTCCAAACCCCATATTCTCCACGGGATACTGTGAAATATGCTGATCAATCGGATTTTAACCTTTTCGATATGCGAGCCACGAACCTGTGGTTTCCAATGAACTTCATGTGGCGCCTAATGCTCGTAAAAGCAAATGAGATGGACTTGGACCTTTACATATGAAGGAAAGTTGAACAATCTTGTTACCGTCGATTGATGCTTTACTTCTTATCGATTTTGATGCTTCTGGGAAGAGTCTCACATACCATATAGATCCAGCTATTCGCATAACTGACTCGTCTCTGGGGACCTGTCGGGAAAGGCAAGAAATGGTATCGCAGGGAAAGAGGGTGGTGAGCGGGTGCTATTCCCACGCTGAAGCCGGGCCTTTACACAACTGCTGCTAAGGCAATGACACAGCCTCAGCCGGCCCAACTCCTGGGATAACCCCCTTTCTTCATGCGCTGTTTGGGCGGCGTTTCCATACCTAGACCTCAGTGATGGAAAAACACGTGCTTGAAGCAAAGGATACATTGCTAATTGCTTTCTCGACCTGTTGTTATGCGAAAAAATAGAAAGAAACTTTCTTTTTCTTGCTTTATGGATGAGATGCTGCACGTCTTTTTTCTCGCATTTTTGAGAGAATCCTGTTGCTCAGCCGTTCCTTTTTATTTTATTTTTGTTTCCTGTCCGAGATAACGGTGCACCATTGCAACTATCGGCGCCGTTGAATTTGTTCAGCGCTCGTCTCGACTGCGAGGAGACTTTCCATTTTTACTCGTTGGAGCCCCGGACCGATTCTTGTCTTGATTACGACTCTTTCCGAGGCTTTCTCTCGCTCGCATCGTTTTACATATCTATTTTAATACCGTCTCAACTTTTTCCCATTTAATCACTTATTGTTTTGTCGCCACAAAATAACATCAAGAACCAGGGATTTCTTTTACGCTACAACTTTTGTATCCATCTTCTAAACCGACCTGTTGCATGCAGAGAAAAGAGGGCCGACATCAATTGAGAGACGGCCGCCGCCGTGTTATGTCATATCCACTCTCACGCATAATTGCCTGACGTATCCTGATTCAGTCCTCGCCGCTGCCGCCACCAAGAAATTCGGGGTCCCCATCGAACCAAGAGCCCAGACTCTCGAGCCGACAACACCCCAAGCTCATCTTTCCCCTCCATCCAACTGACCGTTTCTGGCATCATTCTCATTTTCAAATCTTTGAAAGTTTCCCCCTCCGATCTGGTTTTTTTTTCTTGCTCGGCGTCTCCTACCGAAGACACGACCCGGTATTTATTATTGCGACACGTCCGCACATTTGCGATCTCTCGGTGATCTTAACTGATACATCAAGATCGGACTTCCACACGCCGCCGCACGCATATCTTGGAACAGTCCATCAGGCCCATTGTTTTGGGTGCTTGGTTCAAGTCTTGTCCGCCACCCGCGACGCCCTCATATCTGCCAACTGTAAGCCTTCTCAATCCGTCTATCAAACCCCAGATCACCCTCGGATCCAAGGAAGAAAACAAACGTCATGTCCATCATTTGCCATATCATTCGCCGTGCAACTCTCCTCCCCTCCAGCCGCTGCCTACTCAATCGCCAGTCCTTATCGCGCCGCATTTGTTCCCCAGACATGCGACGTCAGTGCGCATGTACATTGTGAGGTGGTAGTTTGCAGCTTTTCCCCCCAGATCAGCCAAGTCAAACCTTGGGCTCCAGTCACAGGCCGCCCATCGTGCAGTACAGTCTTAGGCCAGCATTATTTTGTTACGATCCTCTTATTCCACAAACGCCTTGATGCCCTGGAAAGATTTGTCTTCATTTCTGGACGCACTGCGCTTTTGGCCGACCCCTCTCCCGGGTTGGGTCGAGTCAGGTTAGGTCAGATTGTGTTGGGAGCGTCTGTCTGGCACCATGGCCAGTGCTGCTGAAGTTTAGGTGCGATGTGTACTGCCGTGACACCACAAGAGTGACAAATGAGGACTGACTTTGGTGCATCACTGCATCATGGTCCTGCTACATCATTGCGCTGCATCTTTTGGACAATACTTCCTAGGCTGCCCCGTACCATGACATCAAGCCCGCTTTATCTCTCCCCTTATGCCACAGCCCGCATCGTCCAGCGCATTCTACAAAACCCCATCATGACATTTGCTAACCTCGACAAGATTGTTTAGATAACGCTCTACGTTTGCTGTCTTGTCAAATCACACGACCTACTACATAATACCCAGTAGCCACAAACGCTGTTATGGCTGCTGTAATGGGAGATTTTGCTGCGGATCATTCTCGATTCCACCATAACATGATAGCCTCTGGCCTTCAACACGAACATTGCGAGCCCACTTATCGACCAACATCCTCTAGATCTCGGCCTAGGCAGTCGTCTTCTGCTTCCCAAATTCGTTCGCCGGCCTCGCCACAGCCAAGGAACGCGACTCCCTCGAAAAGATCGTGGGAAACAGCAGATACGGAAGCAAAGCCAGACGCCGTCAGTAGCGAAGGCGCATCGCGCTTTCCCACTCCTCCCGAGTCCTCATCGCCCTCCTCCGCTCATCCCCGACCCGAGGATGAGCGGATAGCTCAATCCAAGACGATGGCTTCTCAAACACAAACCACCATGACCACAGTCCCAACGCCAGCGGCCCAACAACAACAGCCCACACCCGATGCGGACCCTGCTTCCTCCGCCGCGCCAACACCGGCGCTGCCATATAACGCCTCGTCCCCGCAACAAGGCCACACTATTCGCGTACGCGACCTGGCACATATACAGAGTCTGGCTCGAGCCGACATGATGAATGGTGGAAACGGGCCTGGAATATTGAACGATCCGCCACTGCAAGCCATGAAGTACGAAATCAGCGGCATGCCTATTGGCGACGTTATCGAAATGGTTGCCGCCCTTCTAACCAAGATCACTACGACCAATGATTTGCAGCACGATGCTTTGCACAGGAATGCCACCCACCAGCAGACCGCTGCCAACCACAACAATGATGGCGCTACCATGAGCCCACTAAGCAGCTCTGTATTAGCTTTCCACGGTAAAAATGTGCCGGCCATAACGATTCTCAGTTACCTAAGCCGCATTCACAAGTACTGCCCTACTACGTACGAGGTTTTCCTCAGTTTGCTTGTATATTTCGATCGCATGACGGAAAGAGTCAACAACATGGTCATGCAAGCTGAAGAAGCCAGGCAAAAAGGGCAACCACAGCGACCATTGCATTCCACATTAGCTCCTCGGTCGAGCGAGCATACAGATACCGAAATGAAGGATGACGGAAGCGACGAAAGCGATGAGACTGACTCCGACCTGGCGGATGACGATGACAAACCGGCACCAAAGGATACGCCGGCAGCAAGTACCGCGCCTCCTGCACCAGCGACCTATTTTGTCGTGGACAGTTTCAACATTCACAGATTGATCATTGCTGGCGTAACGTGTGCAAGTAAATTCTTCTCGGATGTCTTTTACACAAATTCGAGATATGCCAAGGTGAGTTCCCGTGTTTATTTTGTTTCATGAAATCTTACTGACCACTGGACAGGTTGGCGGTCTACCCCTGGCGGAATTGAATCACCTGGAGCTTCAATTCCTCGTGCTCAATGATTTTCGCCTTGCTGTTCCGGTGGAAGATCTGGAGGCATATGCGACTATGCTTGTTGAATTCTACGCCCGCGAAGTTGTTGCACAACGTACTCGTCCCGACCCAACTGCAGAGTAGAGTCTCTTGCACTGCATTGATTCAAGAGACCATATAATGCTACAAAGGTATACCGTTGAGGAAAGCTTTTTGCACGTCCTCGCTTGAGCAGCAGAAAGGTTGCTCAGGATAATATACGGGAGTCTTGCACGCTCGATAGAGGCAGGAGTTGACTGGAGCACAAATCATAGAGGATTTCTGGTGAGCAAAGGAGATGGTGTGGAAGTTAGACAAAGTGATGGCGTTGGCAGATCCATGTGTTGGAAATGCCTAGATTGGCGGTCACTTCTTTTGATACCCGATAGACTTCCTACTGGGCCAGTGGAGGACATACATGAGGAGTTAACATGAGGCAACTATTCACCTTCAAGTTGCTATCTACGAATGGGCGATGGGAGATTCTACAGGGCAATGGGTTAGACATTGACGGCGGGTATTGGCTCGCGTTACTACACGTGCCACGAACTTCAACTCGCTATTTTTGCTCAAGTTGAGGGTCTGTCTCGAACTCTAGCACAGACGGCGTTCAAGAGGCTTGATTTCTGGCAGTTTTTTCTTGCGATGATGGGCTGTTTGGATCTGCTATTCGTTATGAGCGTGAGCTAGGAAATTGTTTTGTGCCCCGAGAGTGCCTAGGTAATTATGGAATGACCAGGCATACATAATAGTGTATGTCGTCTTTTCTTCGTTTTACAGTCTTGGGTTGTGTTTTGTTATGATGGTGAACATTCAGTGATGCGAGATAGGGATATATTAATTCAACGGTTTACTGCGGCTCGGCTGTGTCCAGGACGGCTTTCTCCTGATTATTACTTTTTGCAGGTCAGCACATCGAGACTTGGAGGGATCATCGGAACGGCAAACGTCTCGTTCTTATTATGAACCGCTGAAGAAACCGCTGTGGCGCCTCCTAGACCTGCGCTTCTTTTGGCTGGACGGAGCGGCTGAGGAGAAATCTGCTCAGGGGCAGAAGACGGGACAGTTTGCCACTAACGAGCCAGAAGCAATCATGAAGCGCAAAAATCATGGAGCACAGCACTCGAGAACGGTTTTGTCTCTTGCAAGGTTTGATTAGATGGGCGGCTGACAAGAAAGGGTAGATCACTAGTGCTGAAAGCTTAATAGGTTACCGGCACAAGTATAGATCGACCATTCATATACATTACTAACTTGAATTATTTAAGGTTGTGGGATGAGATGGTGTCGGCTACTTTTTGAAGCGCGCAAAAAGCTTGCCAAGACTACGCAGGAACGGGCTCTTCCTCTCAACCTTGTCGCGGAAATTCGAGGCGGCTCAGGAGCAAGATGCCGTTATATTCAATCTTGGGACTCGGTATAGGAGAACCAATACAACGAGACGGGCCAGTAGGACGGCGCCTGGAACGCGGCGATGGAAAGATGCGAGGCCAAAAGGCGGGAATAGGAGAAGATTCCTAGACGTATATCAGCGTATACGACTGCCCTGCTTCAAGAGTCTGGATTTTCCCTCTCTCGTTGCAGATACTTTGTGTCCCAAGGCTTTTTTGCTTGCTCTTTGACATTTCTCCTCCCTCCTCTTAATCAACTGCTTTACCCCCTCATCCCTTTACTCGAAGCCCGTTTTCCCCCCTCGAGAGGTACAGCGTCCATTCTTTCTGCTCTCAAGGAAAACAAAAAAAGTCAAAACCACACTCGCTCACAAACAAAAGCCTACCAGTCACTCGTTTCGTATCATTTGCGACTTCTTTCTTACTAGTTTCCTGCACATCTTCTCGACAAGACAAAAGACAAGTTTTTAATCATGGTTGCCCAATCCCTCATCCTCACCCTCGGTGTCGTGGCACTCCGAGGCGTCGCCGCCTCGTACGAGGTCGCCCAGCCTGCGGGCTACGCGACCGACCCTGCCCCTGCCGTTGGCGGAGGCTATGCCACCTCGGGTGGCAGCAGCGGCTCCGACTCGGGCTATGGCGGCGGTGGCTCTGGTGGCTCGTCTGGTGGATACGGTGGCGGCGAGTCGGGCGAGTCATCGGGTGGATATGGCGGTGGTGAGTCGGGCGAGTCCGGCGGTGGCTACGGAGGTGGTTCCTCTGGCGAGTCAGGAGGCGAGTCTGGTAGTGGAGGATACGGCGGCGGAGAGTCTGGTGAATCCGGTGGCGAGTCTGGCGGTTATGGTGGTGGTGAGAGCGGAGAGTCTGGCGGTAAGGGAGGGTCTGGAGGCTATGGTGGAAGCGAGGGAGGCTCTGGCTCCGGGGGTTATTCTGGTGATAGCAGTCCCTCAGAGTCTGGCTCTGGTGGACACGGTGGTGGTGAGTCGGGCTCTGGCTCTGGCGGCTACTCTGGCGGCGCAAGCCCTGCCGAGTCTGGATCTGGCTCAGGCCACTCCGGCAGCGGCGGCCAGGGCGGCGAGAGTGGTGGCTCTGGAGGCTACGGCGGTGGTGAGGAGGAAGAGGACGATGAGTGCGAGGCCGATGATGGCGAGTACGATGAGGATGAGGAGCCAGCTGGTTACGGAGTCTCTGGTGGTTACGGCTCTGGCGGCTCTGGCGAGGGCGAGGGCCAGGAGGGTGGTGCTTCGGGCGCATACAGTGGTGGTGAGAGTGGTGAAGGCGGCTCTGGTGGCCAGGGTGGCGAGGGTGGCCAGGGAGGAGAAGGCTCTGGCTACAGCAAACCCGGTGACAGCTACGGAGGCGGCGACAGTGAGGGAGGCTCGGGTGGTAGCTCCGGCTCTGGAGGTTCCGGTGAGGGTGGTGAGGGCGAGAGCTCTGGCTACAGCGGCGAAGGTGGATCCGGAGGCTCTGGCCAGGGTGGCGAAGGCTCCTCCTCAGGCTACAGCGGTGAGGGTGGATCCGGAGGCTCTGGAGGTTCCGGAGAGGGTGGTGAGGGTGAAAGCTCTGGCTACAGCACCGAGGGTGGCGAGAGCTCTGGCTCTGGTTACGGCCAAGGCGGAGAGGGTGAGAGCTCTGGTTCTGGCGAGGGCGGATCCGGAGGCTCAGGGGGCTCTGGCGAGGGTGGATCTGGAGGCTCTGGAGGCTCTGGTTCTGGAAGCTCTGAGGGAGGCGCCAGCGCCGCTGACTGTGACGAGAATGGCAACCCCATTGGTGGTGGCTCGTCCGGCGGTGAATCGGGTGGTGAGTCTGGTTCCTCTGGAAGCAGCTCGGAAGGCTCCAGCGGTAGTGAAGGTGGTTCATACGATTCTGGTAGCGGTTCTGGATCATCGTACGACACCCCTTCAACCTTGACCACCCAATACATCACCGCTACTGTGGTTCCCGAGCCGGCTGGCGAAGGTTACTCTGGTGAGTCGTCTGGAGAGGAAAGTGGAAGTGACTACTCCAGCGGAGAGTCAGGCGATTCCAACGAGTCAGAGGGCGGCAAGGGTTACAAGACCTTGGGCGAGAGCTTGCTCGGTCTGCAATGGCTCAAGTGGTTGCTTCACTGGGTCTAAAACACTAATATTCTTGGGGATGTGATGGCCTGTTCCGCATACAGTAGAGTATGCGTGAAGACAGCATTTGGAGCTGCCTAGATTGTGAAAGGGAGACGATTGTATGCAACCCATTATCGTATAAAACTAATTCTATGTCTTGTCAATTTCCTCGTCGACTAGTGGCCCTCATTCTGGCAACATCCTTTGCATTTGAGAAAGAAATGTGTCGTTTCGTTATGTGGAGGTGTTCGTTCCTGTTAATGTATCCGAGCTCGTACGTTTTCCAGTCCGTTTTTTGCACGCTTGCTAGCATACAGCTCAATTTTGTTCTTCCCGAAACAACAAGTTTCACGCAGGTAAAACCATGTAGGGCCCAGAATCTCGAAATTTTCAGTCTTTGAGTAAAGCAAATATAGCCAAGAACATGTGATCTATTCTAGAGTCACATCAATCATCAAAATGTGCATCCTCCCACCCTTAATCAACTCATTTGAGCAACTTGACGAGTCTAGATTTATGAGAAGTCGCCGCAGTATTTCTTGAGCATACTTTCGATATACTCTCTTCTCTCCTTCTTACCGGGTATCTTGTCGAAAACTAGACTGACACCGCACGTTTCATTCGGATCTGTAGATACGCCAGAAACGTCCATCACCGACCATTTGTCATAGCGATCAGCAAAGTCAAAACGTCTGACAACCTTCTGGAATCCGCGTTCAGCAGGGGGCAATAGGGGCCTGTCTTCGTCGAAAGAGTCGTATTCGTCTTCGGCATCAGACTGCTCCGACTCACCATCGGAAGTAGCGTCCTGGTCCGAACCGAACTGCTCCTGATCTCCCAGTCGTCGGGGATATCCCCCTCTTCCCCTGCTTCCCGGCAGAACATGTCAAATGGCTCGAAATGCCAGAATAGGTCATCCAGTTTCCTGGCATCGCCAATGGGCTCCCTGCGAAGCCAGTTGTCTTTGAGATTCTTTTCCAAAAAGGCGGTCCAAATCCTTCGGATAATACTGGAATGCCAAATTCCTCGTTGGCGAATTTCCGCCCTTTAATCAACTGGCAATACTTTCTCCAGCGAACACGTAGTTGTTTGAAGGCGTATTCCAATTTGTGGCCAGTACAGTCTTGGTTCGGATATCGACGCTTCATTGCATCAGCAATCTTTTCGAATGTCGAGGGAGTAATGACATTTCTCCGACGCATGTCTCCATTGTTGGTGACTTGAACACAGTACTTGATGAACTTTGCCTTTTTTTCTCCCCGTGAAGAACGTTGCATACCCATTCTAATGGGTTAGTGGAGCGACGACGACGACGATGGCGACGATGATGATGCCCTGCATGGCAACTGAATGAAATGCAATGTAGTGTGTTTTGATTGCGGAAATATTTAAGAAATTTGGTCAAATTAGGCTAGATGACTCACTATCTCCTGATCAAAAGAGTTGTTGGGCATATAACGACATGTTTAACAACTTTGGCCAAATAACGTTGCAACACTGATCTGCAAAAACGTTATTGGGCCAAAAGTTGTTAAATTGAGTCGTTATTTGCCTACAGGGATGTTAAGTGGCGGGTTCAAGACTATAGACGATACGTGACCCACTCAGAGCTGAACCGCATTACAACTCCATTCACATCAAGGCTAATACAAAGAACTTGTTGTATAGACAACAAAGAAATTGTCATATATAATTCTATTGTATTTGCATAATGGGCAGCTTATATAAATATGGCATGCTTGCCACTTATTATCTAGCGCACAACGCTGACGAACATGCATACGAAAGCATATTGCAGTTGATAAATTGCAGCAAGAGAGATCGAACGTTTTTGTATTCAAATCTCAAGACGCAAAATGAAGGCCAAATATGTCAATATCCACTGCGAATGGTGCGGTCGATACAAGCAACCTACATTCGTCCATGTTAAAACGCGCCAGGCATTCAACGTAATGGCGCGCAGGGTTCATATTAATGAGATATCACAGACACCTCAGTATGATCTTGTAAAGTATCGGCCCGATGAGTTTCGCCTGCGGCCGCAAGGGCTAGACCTGGAAACCACGAGGTGTGTACCGCCAACCCCCATAGGTGCACAGGGTCTGGAATTGGACGGAGATGGTGTGGTTGTTGTAAGTGGACATCGATGTTCTGAATGTAGTTCTGAGAATAATCGTCGACTACGTGATTTGCATGGGAAAAAACAAAAGAGAGAAGCAAGTCTAGGCAGGAAATTGCTTGGGGGTTTAAAGAGTATGCTTGGGATCAGCTGAGGTGGTTGAAAAACAAGACAACTAAACTCACAATTAAAATTATGATACGTACAGTTTCCTATTTAGCAAGCAATTGAAAAGAAGAATAATTCAAAGCGTCCCAGAAAGTACTCAAGACAAGATGTTCCACCAGTGAATTATGCTGCAGTGACTAAAAAAAAGAAAACCAGTATTATTACGTATTTGTTAATAACACACCTTGGATAATCCTTCCATCTTCACGACAAATAGCGAAAGCCTAAGGCTCCAAGCAGAAGAGCGCGAGCTGTGCATACGAATAATCAACAGTTAATCACACACCTTGATACACGCAAAGAATATAATCCAGCAGTCAACATTATGGTAGCGTCATCAAGTCCACTTGCATTAGGTAAGGCCTCTTCCGAGGCCGGCTCGCGCCCACTACTTTGGTCGGCCACGCTGCATTAGATATTATGCATCTGAAAATCCAATTCGCATCGTGAACTCCAACATCATTAGTGTTTCGAACCTTGGTGGTGGTGGAACCAAGGGTTCTCGTTTCGTAAATACGTCCGATAGTGTAGTCGCGTCCTGCCCAAGTCAGTGCACCTCGCCGCGTGAGTCACCCACCCACCGTGAGTGCTACTGCCACTCCCGAGACAAAGACCCGCAACATATTGTTCCTATATGATCAGACTTAAACTGCACTTCTTTCAACAATCAATTGATCAGCCCAATTGGTCTAGCGGGTAAGTTGCGATCCTTGTTTGGTTCACAAACTCCATTCTAACATGAATACAGTATGATACCTGCTTCGGGAAAATCGAAGCCCTTCATTGTAAAGATGAAATTGCAGGTGGTCCCCGGTTCGATCCCGGGATTGGGCCCAACTTTTTTGACTTTTTCTGCTTCTTCCTCTTGTTGCATTTTTGTTATGATGTGATGCTTTGCTTGATCATCATTTTTTCATTTCATTTGGTTCGTTTTTCTTTTTTCTCTGCTTTGTTTGGTTACTGAGGGATCCGCGTTTGCCATGTCGTGTCGCTGAGCGTGGAAGGCGCGTTTGCATCCTCGACTACCAGACTATGGTGTAACGCCGCCAACAATGCGTTGTACAAATCGCTGCATCACTTTAAATCAACTTCAACTAAACACACTCTATCGGCTCTGAGTGCATTGTCATTATTTGTCATCACAACGCGATGTATTTGGCAATGCTAAATACTTGAACCACCACTAGCTGAGCTTTTATGCAATCACAACCTCTCCAAACAGGCGCTCCCTCTTCATCGTGACAGCTGCCAAAGTTTGCAGGCCCCCTGCGACAATCACAAGAACAAATGCAGTTTGCATGGCACCCGTGATTGCATCAACTGCCGCGCTCCTCAGTTCGTCGCTCAAATGCTGAAAAAGGACACTCTGAGTGCCAGAAACGGCGTTCTGTATCTCTTCCGGACTAAAACCTTGACCAGCCAAGACCACACTCAGATTCCTGACGGCGACGGACTGAAACACTTGGCCTCCAATCACCAGACAAATGGCTGTAGACCCAATCTGGCTGACATTTTGCATATTGATGGCATTGACAATGTCTCCGGATGGGACCTTGAGCGTTGCCACGGCATATCCCAACTGCAAAGCCAGACCAGTTCCCACACCGACAATGACAGTGAAGCCGTAGATATGCCCGGCTGGTGTCGACGGCTTGAGGTAGACGTAGAGCAACGACCCACCCAGCGTCATCAGAATCCCCGAGGCAAGATAGAAGGGCATGTAGAACTTGACCTTGGACAATGCCCGACCGGACGCCAGGTTGACGCATATGGTGACGAGAAGAAAAGGCAGCAGCCGGACTGCAGCCATGAGGGCCGTGTCGCCAGCAACAAATTGAAAGTAGACCGGGATGTAATATGTCGTGAAAAATAGCGACGAAACGCAGCATGATGTTCCAATGTACAACGAAATTTGCGTCCTGGACTTTAGGAGGTGTCCCGGAAACGACCTAGTCGCCGCAGTGGTGAAGATGCAAAAGTATTGCTGGGCAGCATATGCCACCAAGACAACAAGGAACACCACTATGGTTGCAATACTGCGTCCATCCGCCCACGGCCAGATCCCACCGGCAAAAATGAATGCTAGGGCAAACGCAACCCAGAAGCCCGCACTGAGAACAAAACCGATGAAATCGAGCTTTTCGATGCGATCACGGACAGATCCGCTGCTATAAGGTCGAATGGCTGGGAGGTAGAAGAGGTACACGGGCGCAGTGATGGCACCAATGACTAGGTCTGTTCAAAATCCCGGATTAGTATGATCTGGCAATGAGAAATGATTCTGTAAAACGTACTAATGTAGAAGCCCCATCTCCAGGTAGCAGAGCTGACTGAGAACCCACCACCCACTACAGGCCCAAGGATACACCCGATACCCCAGAAAAACGCAATTCCCGTGATATAAGTGCCACGCTCTTCTCGAGTGGTCATGGCCGAAAAGTTATTCAATCCTCCAAGATAAATCCCCGTCCCGCCCATACCGGCAATGATTCTCCCGACAATGAGAGCATTCATGGTGGGTGCCGCACCACAGAGCGCCGAGCCGGCCTGGAACAGGACGATACCCGCAATGTACAGCCACTTCATATTGAACTTTGCAAACAAGGCACCATAAGGCAATATGACGGCGACCGAGCCCAGGGGAAACGCCGCGCCGACCCAGGCGAGCTGCGCAACCTGTCCAAATGTCTCAATCACAGCCCCCTGGACATCGGCGGCAATGGTCGTGTCGAGGCCGTACATAAGAGCTGATACGTAGAGGGATGCGCAGACTGTCACCCAGCGGAAACCTCGTATCTTGCGGACGTTGTCAGCAAGTGCGCCCGCGTCCTCGTTGCCATGCTGGTCTTTTTCGGTGCTCGGGGCTGGGTGAGGTCGCTGGCCTCTTTCGATCTGGACTTCGCTGATTTGTCGGAACAGCACGTTATGCTCTGGAATGGAATCGAGTCGTGGGACTGGACATTCTTCTTTTGTTGTCGTCGATGACGACGACGATATTGCAGTCTCCATTGCTGAAAACTACCCAGGCGAGATGGCGACGCAGAGATTAATGGCAGAGACTATTCTGCTGCAATGGAAAAGGACAAGTCCAAATTTCAACAACCCAGATATGTATTTCATTCATATTGCCTAGAATCGAAGAATATTGCCTTGCATCCCCAAGTTACAACGAATATATGATATTCCAATGGTCCCCACAGTTGACGAGATGATAGTATATGACGCTGTCTCATGGTAATCAACTTTATCAAACCTGTGGACCGCATTTGTCAGTCCCCGAAGGCCATCGGCGGAACGATCGACCTTGAGACAAAGCAAAATATTCAGACGTGATCATTTGGACAAGCCGCATATAGGAAATGGTAGTCGCATGGACTAGAGCTAGATTCCATTTGGAATGCGGTCTTCTTATCGCATTACTAACCTTTTTTCCACTACATTTGCACATAATCACTGGCTGATTTGTAAGTCGGTGGTCAAAAGCCAGTCTAGTATACTGGATAGAGTTTGAACAGGGAAAACTATTTCCCATGCCAAGCACATGATTGGAAATAGGTAGAGACTTATTACAAGCATAATGCACAATTTTCCCGTGTTTAAATCGCTGCCGCAGATATCCTTTCTTCTATTTGCTAAAACTTACAAACAAGATGTTTCGTGTTTAGCCAGCTGAAGAGACTAGGATCTGTTCAAGAAGTTTGGAGACTATAATGGCAAAAACGAGATCCTGTTTTGGCGCCGGGATCACTCAATGCTTGCAATGCCATGATGATCTTGGCAGAAATGCTGAAATAGAAATCCTCTCGTGAGGGAGCTGACTGAAAACACACGACCAGCCTTGCTCAATTGAAAGGCTGCTATCATCGTTCATCGTTCGGGTACCGTCACATTGCGGCGCAGCACCTAGCAGTCGTCCAGTTCCGAACTCCGTTGGCCCCTCTGCAAATACGACGTCAGCCATGAAATTGAACGTCCGCCTGTCAACAGGAATGTGGCAACAACACACAACATGCAATATCTGTTGTTCTGTTTGGCATTCCTTGCCACCATTCCTCCTAGTATCGCAAAAGGTACAGATCAGGCTCCCCTCAGGCATTCTGAGCTACCTCGAAAGACTGTAATCAATCATGGATTGGACGCCGACACTAGCCGATACATTCAAGGTATTGCAGAACATTTCCACGTCCCGAGTATCTCCATTGCAGTTCTAAATGGAAACGAGACGACATTTGAGGTATGCGTGTTCATATAAAGAATCTTTTTGTAATCAGGGACTGAAGCATCATCTAGGTCTTTGGCCATGCCATCTTGCCAGACACCCTAGCCACGCTAGATACCATGTATTATATTGCATCGTCCACAAAGTCTTCTACGGCCGCTTCACTCTTGTATACTCTGAGACAACAAGAGAAGACCAGCGGCAACAAACAACAGCCATGGACCGTTGATTCCAAGCTCAGGGATATACTGGGTGAGGATTTTGCTCTGCCCTCGGAGTACGCGACCCATCACGCAACAATCAAGGATGCGCTTGCACACCGTCTCGGACTCGCGCGCTGTGATGAGTCCTATGGGGGCGAAGACTACGGCATCTCGGACTTGGCCCGTAGCCTGCGACACCTTCCCACCATCGCCGAGCTGCGCCAGCAGTATCACTACCTGAATCAAGGCTACATGCTCGTGCAGGCCGTGATTCAAAAACTGAGTGGACGCTGGATTGGCGAGGTGCACCGCGAGGCGCTTTGGGAGCCCCTAGGTATGGATACGACTGTCATCAAGCTTTCTGATGCGCTGGAGCTCGACCGTGGAGCCGGCAACGCGACCTTGGCGTTTGGATACTCCTACAACCCTTTGACTGGTCGCCACGATCACCAACCCTGGACGGACACGGATCTGGTCGGCGGCGGCGGCATCATCAGCACTATATCGGACATGGCAAAATGGGTGAGAGCATTCGTGGAGGGCGGTGCATCATTGCCACTTGGCAAGCAGGACTTTGAAGCTCTGAGAACGCCACTGATAATTACGGGAGGCTCTGTTCGCATTGAGCACATGTCTCCAATCCTCTACGCCATGGGCTGGGATACGATGCACTACCGCGGCGAACGGCTCATTACGCATTCGGGCGAGCTGCCGGGCTACTCATCACAAATGGCCTACCTCCCAGACCGACAGTGGGGTCTGGTCATGTTATCCAACGCCGACGCCTTTGCACAGGAGGCGTTTGAGGCGATATACTTGCGGCTCTTGGACGACGGCCTCGACGTACCCGCAAGCGACCGGCAGGCCGACCTCGTGCCCGAGCTGGACGCGTCACTGGAACGACAGGTGGACACTGCTGTAGGCGATGCCAGGAAGAGGTTCTACCCACACGCCCCCGATCCGCCGGTCCCACGCGCCCTGCCTCTTCAGGCGTATACTGGCCGGTACTGGAACGACGGGTTCCGCGAGCTCAAGCTCCGGGTCGAAAAGAAAGCGCTGGCGTCGACGCCAGCGTGGGATCCCGAGGCACCTGTGCTCCGGGCTGACTGGCATCGCGTCGTGAACACAACCATTGAGCTCGAGTGGGTTTCGGGAGAACAGTTCCTCGCCTGGGTCGAGACTGAGGTGTGGTCGCTATTGGGCGGCGCCGTGCCGGCCGAGTTCAGGGTTGGTGCAGATGGCAAGGTAGAAAGCTTGGGCGTTTACCTAGAGCCGAGCTTGATTGAACGGGGAGAGATGATTTGGTTTGATAGGATAGTAGATGATGATAAGGAGGACGAGTTGAACGTGGCTAAGAGTATGCCGGGGGAGTTGTGATTACGCTCCGTGTCCAGACACACTCGCTTGAGATGAGGCAAAGGTGCTATCATCCTTATATGCAAGATGCCGGTTGCCAATATGTACTGTTCATGGCAACATCTCCAGACTTCTAAGCTGCAAGTCGTGTCAATATTCTTACTGCAATGCTATAGCCCTCTCAACGACAAGACTGTGAATGTGATATCATCAGAGTCTTGATTATGCAGAAATGGGAGCAACAATATCAAGCTCTAGATGACTGACAACATTCGTTTATGTCTGTCTGTGTATGCTATTCACAATCACTAATTTCTGACACAGCCAACATCAATGTTCGGGCCAACGATAAATGCCAAAGCCACCGCGATCTTAGAGCAAACAAACACGTTTTCGCCTAAATTGGCCTTTTCCCCCGCCAGACTTTCTCATTCTCATTTTCTTTTTCTCTTTTTAGAGATAATGACTATATATAGATCCATCAGATCATTGAAGACCATTGCGTCAGCGCAAGGTAGTGAATAGTACTAGGTTTGGAATCCTGCTGCACGAAGGGATAATACAGACTGTGCCGTATTCGAGAGAGCTCATGGGTTTCTGGACCAAAGCAAACTGAACTTTTGAAAATATTACCAATTTCTGCGAAAGCTGCATGTCAGACGTGTTGTTGCACACGGGCCTTGACGGTTTTGATTCCTTGAGACTGGATAGTTCGAGACCTTTGGAGCATTCTTTTGCAGATTGTTCCACTCAAGTGCCAAGAAACTGCGCAGAACAGATGCAGGCAGCGTCAGTGTGTGCTCGTGCACTGGACTGGCGCCGATCTTTGACCCATCTCCGCGCGATTACTTGCCTACCACTTACATGGGTCGACCATTCCAACGCAATGGAGATTCCGAATAATGCGATCTGGGCGCCTGGTGCTTCTCCCGGGAGGAAGGAGAAAAATGGTCGAGCCCAAGACAGCAGGGCTGCATGTCGGATCTTTTCAGAATGCAAGGAGTTACGTACGTCTTGTCTCGGAGCGCTCTAGGAACCGACTGTTTGCGGTGAGTCTATCACGGCTAAGGGTTCAGCGTTCTGCCGACGCCCGTGCAGGGAGTGACCCGGCTTTGGAATCATTTGAAAAGTTGTTGAGAAAGGCTTGGGTATCTAGAAACTACCTAGGCAGAGTGCACGGCTTGTCTTCTGAGGTTAGGATATGTTACATATATCACATTTTTCGAGAATGTGATGAAGCAGCTGTAATTTCCTGGCTCCAAATCGCGACATGCCATACACTAATGGAGCGAGAACCGCTTAACTTTGGCCCTAGAACAGGTTCCCCAGATCGCTAGAGATTACCCACATCAGCTGCATTTCAGTGTAACATGTCAAATCTCGGCAGCCCAGAATTGCAGCAACATTGCCGTCTGTCATTTATGATGTAGTATTTCATTATTAGTCTTTCTCTTGGCCTGCTCCAAATCGTTTGTCGTCGCAGCTGTAGCCCCAGCGAATATGCATGCAGGCTTGGGAGCATACACCTACCATCCATACTGGCAGATGGGCGCAAGAGTGGGTGGCTGGGCGCGCACGGTAAACGGAGGTGATGTTCCTCGTCCACGTTCGAAGTAGCTCTAACCATGATATCGGGTTATCAAAGAGCCTAGGCTAGTATAGTCGAGAGATGTTATCATCAACTGAGGGGAAGAGCAGGTCCGTGGCCTTCTTCATCTGCACGTCTTGAGCGGCCCCTCCCACGTGGGTGATCAGATGTAATAGGTCTTGGAGCCACTCTGTATATACCGCAGCCTTCCACTCACCCACCCATTGGCAATTGAACCGTACATGTTCCGTGCAACCACCGGAGCTTTTGAATGTGACATTACCGCCACAGATGGCTCGGTCCGCCTCTCTCTCTCCCTCTTTTGTTTTTCTTCATGATTTCATCCGACATTTGCTGCCTGTGAGTTGTGTGACAGAATTTGTGGCGACTGGATGTGACGGCAAACGACTCGAGCCAAACACCAAACACTGGAACTGCCAAAGTGATAAAGTGGATGCCGTTTTCGTTTTGACGTGGGCTATTTGCAGGGCTTGGCGGTACAGGGTGTATGTGACGACGGGCGCAACCTAAAGTGAGAAGCTCTGGAGCCGTGTATGATGTTATGGATCAGTTCCAGTGACCAGGGCAGATTTGGAACCAGGAACCTGAACCATGGTGACATGGTCCCATATATTAGTAGTACGAAATAGGCACAGTACTATGCATAGTAGCATCTTCGCAAGAAGCTAAATACATAACCTAGTCTAGGTAGTTCAGTCGATCAAACACGTCTTGGGTGGACTCGGTATATGGCCCTCTTGGCCCTGGGCTTGCTGGCAGGCTGGCCAAAGCTAATGTTGGGAATACCCGGAGGATTGATATCAAGGAACGACTGGGAAACGAACCCGGGGGGCCTTTTAGTGGAACGGTGATCTCCGCCCGATACCACCCTAAAAATCCCACTACACCACAGAATACTCTCGGCACTTTTCATTGTGCATAGTAAGCCAACATGTTATGTAAGTAGTACTATATAATTCTGTTTCATCAAGGCACAGACATGCCTGGATCGCTGATCTTTCGTTGGAGATCATTGAGCTGAGCTGGAACAAGGGAAGAGAAGTTATATCCGCGTTGCAAAGATGGCATGCAGAGCGCGAGTGTGCCCAAGTGAGCAATCAATGAGCGTACATAAGCAGCTGCAGTAATAAGCAAGCCCAAATGTCGAGATTGAGGTGCGTGCATATTACACTGTGGAAGCAGATCCATCTTTCTGCGATTGCAGCCACGTATTTATCTCGTTTGTCGACCTTGATACCCAAAGGTGATTCATTTGCTCCTAATCTCCCACTGCCACGACTGATGAGTGTGGTCAGTATATTGTGTATCCGTGCTCTCTATCTGCTTAGGTATGTGTTCGTACGACTCTTCGTTATCACAGCAAAGCGATGGTTACACGGCCTATCATGACATGGAATAAGAAAGTACATCCCTTGAACATCCGCAAACGATATAGGAAATATATGGGGTAAAGCGATTGGTTGAGATCAGACCTCCAGCATGTGTCTCTCTTCTTTTTCAAACTAGAGAATTCAATATTGTAATCATGTAGACTGAGTAATATCATATACTCGCGGTCTGTGTCTCACTTTATCCGCCCGGCTTGAGGCCAAAGCGTCCGATTGTTCTTGTCTATCTTGTTCGTCTAGCGAACGATACCCATGGGACCCATACTGCCCTGGTCGCCTCAATAGGAATGGCCCCCCTCACTTGGACCCCTGCCCATGATCAGTGTTGCGCCCTGGCCGCTGTCACTGATGCGCACGCTGACTGCCCAAAACGGGTTCGTCAGGATGGCTACGAGGTTGCATGCGGCTGCAAGCATTTGTTTCCAATCCTCGCATGTCACCGTCAGTGTGCAAGCCGAGTCACGGCCACGCGAGATTCCATGTTCGTTCCTGTCTTACATTTGAACAGGGCTCCGGGCTGGGGGCACAACGGGTCGGCCGGCGCGAACGTTGGTTGGGAATTTCGGGAGTATTTTCCCTCTCTTTTCATAAAGACAGCCATGGGCCCTCCCAGAAAGCAAAAACCCGAAACGGAGCACCGGCACTCGTTGAACTGGTCCAAGACACCTTGGACAGTTATGATATATCGAAACCACTGTCCTTGTTAGGACGGCACAAGTTTCTTTCGTTTCGTCAATAGAAAAAAAAAAAACCGAGCCGGCTCTTGGTATAACGACCAGAACTACTTTCTGGCCACCATGGCGTTGGACTCATCTTTCTCGATGAGCAACCTTGGTGAAGCAGAGCCATGGTCGAATAGGCGGTCCGTAATTCTTGGTGTCATTATTACATTCCTGGTACGCAATGCTTCCCAAGCATAAAATTCATTTCTGTCCGAAGCACAACCACGTCGTCTGACTAGTTTTTAAAGATAACATCATGGTTTTGCGTACTTGGACGTCTCTACGTTCGTGCCAAAATTGTACGAGACCCCGGGTGGGATGATCTATGTGTTATGTTCTATGCTGTAAGTACTGATGAACAATCACACCTTGAGGATTATTCATTCTAACCTACTGATGCAGCTCTTTACAACCATTGGGAGTATCTGCGTTCTGCTGGCCGCGGATCGCTATGGACTTGGCCAACACTTTTCGTCCCTCACGCCCGAGCAGATGGTAGCATACCTCCAAGTTTTCTATGTCTGCAACGCGTCCTACTGTACGGCAACGGCCTTTATCAAGGAAGCCCTGCTCCTCCAGTATCTGCGCGTTTATGGTCGTGGGCACATCATGTGGCGCCTCACCTTTGCCGTCATCATTTTCACCGCAATCTGGGGAGTCGCCTACTCCTTCATTGCTTGGGTTCCGTGCTTCCCCGTGACCGGTTTTTGGACGGGTAATGGCAAGTGCTACGGCTACGGCTCGCCCATTCCTACTCAGTTTGTCGGCACCTACGAGAGCCATACGGCCATTAACATGATCTTGGACTTTATTGTCCTCCTCATTCCACTGCCGCTACTTGTCAGAGAGGGGTCAACACTGAAGCAGAAACTACGGATCCTAGGTTTGCTCATCATGGGTTCATTGTAAGCGGTCTCTCAGTTTCCCCTTTCCAAGCTTTCTCATTTCTTCCCTTCGTCTTCTCTCTTGCCTCATACAGAACAAGAAAGTGCAATACTAACCGACATCACCCGAACAGAGTCATTATGCTAGCCATCTGGCGTCTCGCCACTATCATCGACCACCAGGCCGCGACCTGGCCAACACACGACCCGACCTGGTACGGCCCCATCAGCATCATCCTGGCCGTCCTCGAGGTGGACTGCGCCGCCATTTGCGCCTCGATTCCCATCTTCTGGCCGGTGCTCGAGGCCCGCTGGGGCACCATCTTCATCACCCAAGAAATCAAAATCACGCGCGAGGACCGCCGCTTGGAGGAAGAAGCGGCCGTGGCGGAATCGGCAGCAGCAGTGGGAGGCAGCGACAGGGATTATTATCACTCCTACTTGCAACACCACCAACATCAACAGCACAATTATCACGGCTCCAGGGGCAGTGGCAGCGAGCTCGAGCTCAATCTCAAGCGGTCCGAGAGCAACCGCTCCTTGGGTGGAACACATTACAATGACATGTTTGTCATGCACTCGGTTGATCCTCTTCGCAGCCCGACGTTGGGCCAGGTCCGCACCGCGGCTGTTATTGAAAGCGACGCGGCCAGGGACGCTGGCGGTAAGCGATGGGGATTTTGAGGGGACCGACTGACTAAGACTAGTTTAAATCCTCTAATATATAAAATAATATGAAGAAAGGACCTCGAAATTATTCACACCGCCCGTGGTGGTCGTACTATATCTGACAGAGAATGACATTCTGAATGCCCTGACGCAGAATACGTATCCAGGCAAGGACCAGACACAAATCCATTCACCAATAATGCTCGAACGAATACCTAGTCAGCGGGGTGGTTTCTTTTCATGACCACGATGCTATTCATCTGTTTTCCTGATTATCAACTACCTATATTGTCTAGAGCTCCTTGTAGAAATCGCCGCGGGGTGTAAACTGAAGGAACGGCCCATCATGGTCGGAAGTAAACACATCCTTGAGCCTGAATTCCGTATCATGGTTTGAACCCGACGTGTCTACACTTTGGGCAAAGTCAAAGTCAAAGTACCACAGAGTCTTTGCCAGGGCCATGCCAACTTCCAGATAGGCGAGCGGTTTGCCAGCGCACGCGCGGGAGCCGGCACCAAAGGGCATAAAGGCGGCCGTGTTGCTCGCCTTTTCCGAGGACTCGGTCGATGATGACGGGAGCCACCGCTCGGGCTTGTAGGCAAAAGGCTCGGGGAAGTAGTCGGGGTTGTGGTGGATGGAGTAAATGTTGACTCCAACCTGCGTGCCCTGGGGAATGACGCGCCCGTCAATGATCAAGAGCTCTTTGGCACTCTCGAGCGACTGCTCCCTCCACACCGTCCCGGCGACGGGTGGCGACAGCCTCAGCGCCTCGTTGATGCACGCGTGCAGGTATTGGCAGTTCGCGAGTTTTTGCCCGCTCTTGATATCGTCGCCAGCCGTAAAGGTGGATCGAATCTCCTTGGCCACTGTCTTTTGGCACTCTGGGTTCCGCGCCAAGTAGAAGAAGAGGGAGCTGAGCGCAGTAGAACTCGTGTCCCCAGCGGCAGGGAGGAAGAAGATGGCCTCAGCCCACAGCTCGCTCAGGGTGATCTTCTCGTCCCCGGAAGCCTGGAGGGCATCCGCGAGGTGCGAGTACAAGTCGACGCGTGCATACCTGTCCTCGGCCAATCTAGCCTTGATCATCTTCCTCAGGGTTGGAAGAAACGCTTCGCCCTTGATGATAGCTGGAACGTAGATTGGGATGCCGAATTTGATGGTTTTCAAAAATCTTAATTGCATGTACACTAAACAAGAGCACAAACTCAGTGAGTTCTGTCAGCAATAAAGGACTGCTAGTTGTGCTCACAGTTGATGATCCAACTGCCTCGTGCTATAGCGCGCGGGAGGTACCGATGTTCTTCCTCGGTCTGGAGTCTCAAATTGTATCCAAACGCAAGCAGGGCGGCAATATCGAGCCCCAAGTATTTGCAACGCCGGGACATGTTCACGGCAGACTCTGCACCCGTCTTTGTGGTAGATGTTGTTGAGAGCTGCTTCACAAAGAGGTCGATCTGTTCCGTGATGATGGGTTCAAGGCTGCGTATTGATGTTGGCGTGAGCAGCTGACTGACCAGTCGGCGCTTGAGGCGATGGACCTGTGGGTTGATGGTATTGAAGACATTTGTGGTCGACGGGTCCATGTTGCCATCCTGGTAGCATTTTGACTTGAGCACATTGTCGTTTTGATAAATGTCTGCCAACGTGTAAGTTTATTTGCTATACTAGGCAGCCAAAGTGAGTGTAAGCTCGGTGGGTGGGAAGCTGTATTACCATTCGCAGCTTGGACCGAGTTGAACACTAGTGTCAGATGGTGGACTATGGTTCCTATACACTAGCGTGTGCTTAAGCATACGGATTAATATTATAGTGTTTAGATAAATATACGGGACCTTTTAGGGATTAGCCGGGGCTACCTAAATAAGCGTATACTTTATTAAAACTAAAAAGCGTAAAATATAGATTAATATATTATATAATTAATATTAATATTAGATTAATTTAAACTTTAATAGGAAAGTATTATTTTAATTAATAATTAAAAGTTTTAGTGCCTTTGCTAAAGCTACGAAAATAATAACTACGAAAGAAGCCGGAATCGGCTTAACGGCATCGTTAAAAATAACTTCCGATTAGAATAATTAGGAATATGCGTTTTAAATCTAGGTATAAATTACCGGATTAATTAATTATTTTAAAAATAAGACGATTTTAATTAGAATTTTAGTCGAACCGGATATTAAAAAGATTAAATATATAAAAATCGCGGTAGCGATTTTTAAAGCTATAAACGAAAGCGACGATCCGAATATTTAAAATAAAGAAAATAGGGAATGGACGATAACGGATTTTACCGAAAAAGGTTAAAAGTCGTTTAACCTCGATTATAATTATTATAAAATAAAGAAAATTATATATACTAAGCAATATATAGCGATTAAAAAAATTACGAAATAAATAATTATTACGATTTTTTTAAATTTTTTTTTTACGTATTATTTAATTAACGAGCCTTTATATAAATAATACGAAAATTTTAGGGCTCGCTATAGTAAATTAGCTTTAAATAATAAAAAAAAAATAAAAAAATAGTATTTCGAAGCTTTTAAGCTTTTAAAAATATTAAAAAAAGCTATAAATTAGGTTAATAAATAAGAAATAATTATAACGAAAGCCTAAGCAAAATAAATAATTAAAATATAAAATAATTCAGTTTAGGCTATAAATTTTTTAAATACCGTTATTTTAATTATATTATAATAAGCTGCCTTTTATTAAATTTATAAAAAATAAAATATTTTAAATAAAAATTTAGAATATCGGGTAATAAATAATAATTTCCGTAAAAGCTTAAATATTTAATAGCCGATTAGGCTAAAAATTAAAAAAAACGCTTTCGCAATTTACGTTAATAAAGCTAATAAATAGCCTTAAAACGGATAAAATAAAAACGCTTACCTTATTAAAAATTAAATGCTTTCCCGATTAAATGCGGCTAATTTACGTAAAAAAAAAAATAAATTATTTATAATAAAAGGCAAAAGGATATTAAATACTTTATTTGCTATTTTTTTTACGCTTTTAATTTATATTTTTACGTATTTTCAAAAAAAGCTTATTTAAATTTCGTCCTTAAAAATAAAATATAAGCACGAATAAATAAAGCTTTTAAAAAAGACTTTAATTTATAAAAGCAGGTTTATAATATAAAAAGGATTAAAATTAGCTAAATTAATATATTACGAATAACTAAAAAAAAAATCGCTTCCGATTAATATAAATTAATAGGACGGACGATTAGTAATAAATATATAAAGCAATTTTATAATATTTATAAAAAATTATTTTTTGCGCTATTTAGTTATTTTAGATTTAGCGATAATAATTTTAATTATAAATATAAAAATAAAGCTTATTAATTATAAATAAGCTTTTAATTATAATTTTATTTAGTTAAGCGACCGGAAATTATTTATTTACGGGTACGGTATAATAATTATATAGCTCGGATTTAAAGTATTATTATTAAATAATATAATTTATTATTTTAAATTATTAATTATATTAGTATTACTCCGTTAATTACGAAAACGAAAATATTATTAGGATAATAAAAATAACCTTATAATATTACGCAAAAAAAAAATTTTTTAATTAGCATATTCTAAAATTAATACGGATAATACGTTTTCGAATATAAATTTTACGAATTATTTTTAGCGTTATTTATTATTTACCGGAAAAAATATATAATATAAATAAAAAGGCTATTATTAATTAAAAAAGCTATACGATAATATTATAAAATGGGATATTTAGGCCCGGCAGCTTTCGAATATTTTATTTATTTATTTTAAAAAGTAAAAATTAAAAGACTAATTATAATAAAATATAAAGCCTGCGTATTTATAAAAATTACGCGTTAATTACGGTAAACGCTACGGCTAATTAACGAAAATTATAGCGAATAATTAGCTATAAATTTTTATAATTATATTAAAAAAATCGAAAATTATATATCCTAAATACTAATTATTTATCGGCAAACGGGATATATATAGGATTATTATTTTACGGAAAGGATTATTATTATATTAATTAACGCTTTCTAATCGTTTTTAGGCATAATAAAGATTTAATATAATATTAAAATTAAAATTATCGAATATAATAACAAAATTACCGAAATTAAATAGGTAATCGGAAAATATTTTAAAAATAAATATATTAAATTTAAGCTTTTAGCATTATATATATAAGCCTAAAATAAAGCTGCTAAACGCTTAAAAGGTATAATTAAAAAAAACGTATAATATATACCGGCGTAAAACTCCTTTATTAATTTTAGCCTAAAATCGGCAAAACCGCGGTATACCTATATAATTATACGCCGAATTATAATTCCCGATAGCGTATATTATATATAAAATTTTATAAAATAGTTGCGAAAGCAAAAGGAGTCCTAAATCCGAGTTATAAGCCTAATTAGATTTATTTTAAAATATTCGGATATAAAGCGTATATAATAACGCTAACGGTATAATAAAAATTCGGCCGTTTATAACGATTAACACTTAAGGCATAAATAAAATATTTAATCGGATATAGGTTATTTAATATTTATAAGATTTAGATTTTTAATCGGAATAAATTAATTAATATAAAAAATATAATTATAAACGAAAAAAAATTATACGATAAAAAATAGGATATATTTCAAAATAAGCTTTTAAATACTAATACTTAATTTATCGCCGATTTCGTAATTAATTACGCAATATTTAAGGACGAGATCTTATAAAAACTAAAAAGTAAAAAAACCGCCGCAAAAAATTTCCTGCTAGGCGATAATTAAAATAATTAAAAAGAAAGTAATAATTAAAAAAATAAAAAAATAGCGCTAAATAAAAGGAATAAATAATACCTTTTTATTACCGCAAAATTTACCTTTTAAACTTTATTATAAATACCTTTATTAGCTTTATTAATATATAATATAAAGGCGATTACGATTAAAGATATAGCGCTATTAAAAAAAGGACCTAAAATAGTTTTATAATAAGCAGTTTTTTTAGCTAATTATAAAGCTATTTTTAAAATAAAATAAAATAATAATTAAGACGATAAAGCGAAGCTAAAACGTTTTTTTCGTTAAAAGGTAAAAATTTATAAAGCGGAAATTTTAGCTTCCCTTAAATAATATTATAAATTATATTATTATCCGTTTAGTAAATTATTTTTTTAAATAAAAGCTAATTATTTATAAAATTATAAAAATATGCGATTTTAAACCGAAATTAATAAAAAGGATTTACGAATAAAAGGTAAATAGATTTTTAATTATATATAAATATATATATATAAATTCGATAAATACGGGAAATTTTAAAAATATAAGGCAAAATTCGTTATTTACGGTAATTAATAGGCGAAGTCCTAAAATTAGGAAATTTATACGGCTATATTAGCTAAAAGATTATTTCGCATTTTAATCGCGATTATAGTAAAATTCGATTTTAAATTAATATAATACGATATAATAAATACGTTTATATACGCTTTTATCGATTAAAATATATTTATAAAAATGCCGGATAAATATCGAAAAAAAATATTATATTATTATTAAATAAAGCATTTTATAAATTACGGATATTACCGTTATTATAATAAAAAGAATTTATAAAAATTTTAGCCAAAATCGGTTATACCTAGATATTATATAAGCTTTGCGTATTTATTAATAAAAGAGTGCTAATTTTTTTTTACGTTAACGATATAATTATCGCATATAAAAATAAAAATAAAAAAGCTATTAATTATTTAATATAATATTTTATAAAAAAATATAAAATTAATAATAGCGAGCTAATATAATAGTTTTTCGGGATAGAAATAATTAAAAATCGTATATTTAAAATAATTTGGCTGTTTTAAAGGGCTTATTTTAAAAAAATCGCTAAGCTTATAAATAAATAAAAGATTTATGCGACGTTAATAAGTTACGAAAAATTTATGTTTTAATTAATTATAGCGCTTTTATATAAAATATAAAAATATTAAAAAAAAATCGGATTATTATTATTTGCGGCTATATTTATAAAGCTAGATATTATATTCGTAATAGCTAAATTAGCTCGATTCCTTAATAATTTAAGCTAAATATATTAAAAAGCTGCTAATCGAGCTTTAATTTACCTAATTAATACTAAAAAACTTTCGCTTAAAATCGAAAGATTTTTTAATCTAATAATTGCTAATAACGCATTATTTGCCGATAATAATATCGATCGCAAAAATACCTAAATATTCGTTATAAAGCTATTCGGAGGATTAATTAATTAGCGATTAAATAAATAAAATATAATTATTACTTTTATTATAAAAGCTGAGTTATTTGCCTTAATATAAGCTGCTAAAAAGATATTATTCGTTAGCCGATTATTAAAAAAATTATTAATATAATTGGATAATAGCATTATTATTATTAAGTATAATAATAAATAAATTATTAATTTAATTAACGCTAAGATCGCGTTATTAAAAATAAAACTCCGTTATATAGATATTTATAATTATTAGCTGCGGTAAAAAGCTTAAAAAAAGGATTAGAGTTATTTATAAACTTTTAAATAAGATAATAATAAATAAATTAACGAAAAGCTTGCTAATAGGAAAATAACAGAATTTTCTATAATAAATAAGATTTAAAATTGCTTATCGTAATTAAAACGAATAGCCTTAGAAAAAGCTATATTTTGCTAATTAGCAATTTTAATTTAAATATGGTTAAATTTACGATAGATTATGGATTTAAGGGGGTGTGTTAGATAGTGGATTATGGTTTTTATATACTGGCGTGTGCTTAAGTATACGGATTAACATTATGGTGTTTAGATAAATGTACGAGACCTCCTGGGGATTAGCCGGGGCCACCTAAATAAGCGTACACCTTATTAAAATTAAAAGGCGCAGAATATAAATCAATATATTATATAATTAACACCAATATCAGACCAGTTTAAACTCTAATAGGAAAGCACCACCTTGATTAACAACTAGTTTGTTGGGACCTTGTCGAATGATGGGACCTTGGAAGATCTTTAGCAATGATCCGTCTCTCTGTAATACGTCGAGCTGCTCGTCTACTGACCATATTTGGTGTGGTCGTGCCACGTCCTAATGTGAAGTTCCTTGCTAAATGCACCCAAGCCGCCGTAAAGATCAGAGACTTTGGCGAGGAGCGGCCCAGGATATCTTGCCAAGGGGTGAAACAACAGACGATAGCTGCCCACAGAAAACAGCTGAACAAGAAATACAATCAATCATCAGAAGGTTCAAGTATTCTCAGCTGTGAAGCACTTACATATGTTAGCAGGGCGAGTATGCTGTATTTGGCGATTGCCTGGAGTGTATCGAGGAAAGCCATGGCGCGCTTAGCTCAGTGTAGCGCTTGGCTTAGTGTTGAAACTCCACTGACAATTCGAATACACTACTACGGCGCCGTCTTTTGCAGGCCAATGCGCACCTCTCTTGGGGAAGTTCTATTGTAGCAGATCAGGCAAGATAACGAAGAAGCCAGGAAGAGCTTGAAGCATTTTAGAGAGACATGGCTTGTTACGCTCGCAAGGGTGGATCGAGGCAGGGATGACAACAAGGGGAATAAAGGTGTTGGTTCATGCGGACCTGAGGGCCTTCAGAAGAGGGCAGACAGGGTAACCAACCAACCATGTCTGGAACATTACATACAAGTGCTGCTGCTGCTGCTGCTACTTTGGTAAGGATCCCAATCAAGCAGCCTGCCCACATGCTGAGGGGAGACTGCGACCAACATCAGAGCAGCATCTATCCCAGTGCATACGTCGTTCATTCACTTTTCATTGGAACCTCGGGGGCGCGTGGATTGCCTGTTTGCTGGGTAGCGGCCAAGTTCTCTGGGGAGGATCAATCTGCAGTGAGTGAGGGGGCCGTCAGTGGGAGGGAGCATAGAGGCCCTGGGAAATTTGCACAACCGCCAAAGAAAGCCCAGATATAGTGGTACTTGCTCCACTGCGAGACTGCTGAATACTTGCCTGACTACAGAGTGATGCATATACAACCATTAGGCAAATATTTACTAGCCCAGGATTTGACCCAGCAGCCTGTCCTATCCTATAAAAGTCGGATATGGCGCCAATGTTGCCCAGCGCCCTTCATTTCGGGCTTCATGCTCCACTATAGACTACATACATATACCTTTCTCTACTCCCATAGATACATACAAATACTTAACCAACTAATCAATCACTTCACTCACCATAACCTCGTTCATCTCAACAGCCAAGACTATAGCTCACAGAATATGAAAATATGGAAGGGCACAATGGATTAGCCAATGGGCTGTCTAATGGGTTGCTAAATGGTGTATCAAATGGCATTGAAGGCCTACAGGATTATAGTGCGGATGGCAAACTGTGTTGGTTTCGAAGATAAGCACAATATCAAGTTTCGCTATCACTTGGGGATAGTATTGGAGGAATGGTTGATTCAATAGTCATTGTCAAAGGCAAGCAGCATCTATTGAAAAGTCTCTCAGGGTCTCAAACCTGGAGAATGCCGGAATTGGAAGAGCACTATCCGGCTGCTGCTGCAATTGTTGACTTGTTTGTGACCGCAATGTATCATTCATGGATCCGGCGGCGGACGGACCGGTCGGATAATCATGATCAAAGCCAAGATTCATTTGCACGGTCCAAATTTGTGTATCGCAAGGTACAAGAAGGGAGTAATACGAGTTTACTGCCGCTCTATACGGAAGTTTCGCGGCTCGGAGTTAAGCAACATTCATTCCACTTTGTTGATGTGTATCGATTTTTGGTCCACCGCCAGTTTGAAATGCAAGTAACATCCCAATAGGTGGGTATTCAAATGATGCAGCTGCCAGTGCCAAAAAGCCCCATGTTTATCGTTATGCTCACCTGCAGTGTTATGCGCACTACCATCTTATGCTTACTCACAACTAACTACCACTTTTCACATGTGCCATCGCTGGTAACCGTGAGATATTAACAACATATGTAAATGCTTCCTTTTCCTTGCAAGCTCTTGGACGCCGTGCGTATCAGAGTTCCGGCAACGAACGCCGGCAACAAACACCGTGGTGATGAGAATTAGAAAGGCGTTCGTAGATCGACTGAAGCTTTACAGTATTTGCGGAAGTTGTCCGTGTGGGTAGGAGCTTTAGAATACTACAGGCATAAATTAAAGGTACACCCTGAGAGACTATTCTACGAGATGCACATATTTCATTACGCCATGGGAGGTAGGGTGTTTTCAAGCAAAATCCTCAAGGCAAGCAACACGGAGACTCGGATGAATAGAGCGTTATTGAGCATCCGGCTTATAAATCACAAAGATCCCGCGCGAAACGCCGAGTCTAGCGAGCGAGGCCACAATCTCAGCCCGCGAGCTCAGGATGAGACATTGATTTATAAAGTAGGTACTGTCAGTTCCTATTTCCTATGGACATTTGACATCCCAACGCAGACTTTTATTGTTGCATTTGTTGCCGTTTTGAAGCTTATCGAGTATCCTGGGACATCTTTGCAGTTATTCAACTTTAGTAAACTAGATCCACAAGCCAATCAGTATGCCTTCATACGTTATCACGGGAGCCTCTAGGGGTTTAGGAGTAAGTTTAAGCAACCGCCAGCCCAAACTTTCTGACCGTCTGCACTAGTTTGAACATGTCCGTCAGCTCTCTGCTGATCCCAACAACTTGATCGTCGGCCTTGCGCGAGACAGAGATGCTACTATCAAGAAGGTCAAGGAGGAGCTAGGAGAAAAGCCGAATGTCTTTATCCTCCGTGGAGACTTGCACGATAGGGACAGTCTGAAGGCAAGTTCCATACGTATATACGTGCGTAGTATTTTCTACCTTCTAACACTCTTTAATTAGCAAGCCGCCGCCGACAGCTTTCCTATCCTCGACGGCAAGTTGGATTATCTCATCGCCAATGCCGGTGTTGCTTCCAAATTCGACTCATACACCAACCTCGGAGAGCAGTATGTTTACGCCAACCTATCTAAGTGGGCATAATAAAAGCTAACGTACCATTCAATAGAGGAGATGACCCTGATGGCCTCGAAAGGGAGTACCTGTCTCTCCACAAGACCAACGTCATTGGCAACATCAATCTTATCAATTCCTTCATGCCACAGGTTTTGGCCGGGAGAGAGAAGAAAGTTATTGCCATTTCCAGTGGTCTATCGGATTTCGATGCCGTGAGAAAGCTGGACCTCGATACTGCTCCTCTTTACGCCATTTCTAAAGCAGCACTGAACATGGTTGTGGCCAAATTTCAGAGCCAGTACAAGCCCGACGGTGTCCTGTTCTTGTCCATCTGTCCGGGCATGGTTGATGTGGGTCAGTACTCGAAAGGTATGCACCCCTCTTGTTTCTGACACGAAATAATCTCACCTTTGACTACAGCAACCCCAGTGCAGCTGCAGAGGATCCAGAAAATGGTTGGAAAGTTTCACGAGTTCTATCCTCACTTCCCCGGTCCAGCCACCCCCGCCCAAGCTATCCGAGATGTAATTTCAGTCTATCAAAAGGCAGATCTCGAGAACTACGCCGGCGACTTTGTGTCGCACCATGGGAATAAGGAGTGGCTCTGAGTGATAGGATGCCCACGTGACCAAGGACTAGCATGTCAACCACAGAACACCAATAATCATCACGAAAGGCAGACAAATCAGAGAATTTCTTGTATGAGGCTTTATTGACTTCTCAACGATGAAGCATCATCTCTATCTACCAAGTGTTCCATAGTCCTAGGACCATTGGAGACACCAAAACCACAAAACCACAAAACCGCAAAACCATTGTCTGTATAGGATCCATCCTTGTGTGGTCCTGAAAAACCCCAATCTTGCAACCTAATTGATCGATTCCTCCCTCGCGATCTCAAGAATGTCCATATCCATGTCCATTTTCCTGTATCCGTGTGTGTGTTGTCGTATCGAAAGGTGCCATTGCCATGAAAGAAACAAACGTCGAGTGTGACACCAGAAAAGTAGAAACGAGTGTACTTGGGTCGATCCCTTGAAACAAAAACCAGAAAGACAACGCAAAGTCGAGAAACATTTCGGGTATCATTGTGAGGTCACCAGCTGAAGAGAAGAATGCCTCGTGGAAACCAATCGCTGAGGGGTCGCATCGTCATCATCGTGAGTCGTGAAAGTCGTGTGTAGCTGAAAGATCACGGGAAAAGAAACGTCAACTACCAACAGGCAGTATCTTGTCCCTGTCTAGTAGTTGCGGGGGTAGCGGCTACTGTGAGGATTGTAGCTGGAGTTGCCTCCGCGGGGACCAAAGGCTCCAGTGTTGCCGGATCGGCAGGAGTCGTAGGAGAAGTCCTTGTCGGCGCGAGAGTGACCATAGGTATTGTTGCCATAACCGTTGCCACCAAGGCCACTGTAAGAACCACCGGCGGGACCCATGTGATGACCGCGCTGGTAGGGGCCATGGTGATTACCGCCATTGTAGCTCATGGAGGAGTTCTCGTTGGCGTAGCCGCCGCCATAGTTGGCACTGTAGGTGCCGTTGCCATACGAGACAATGGCGTTGTTGCTATTGCTGTAGTGAGGACCGCTGTACTGGTCCTCCAGGATGCTGTCGAATCGTTCAAAGCGACGGCGGCGGTGGGAACGGAATGCGCCTCCGTTCAGGTCGTCCTGGCGGAACGCAACGCCCTTGGGCAGACCAGGGCGACAGACCAGCTTGCGATCCATATGCATAACACCACCCAGACGCTGGATAGCAGCATCTGCTTCTCTGGCATCTCCGTAAGTGACGAAGACGTAGCCCTTGTTGGGCATCTCGGGCGGGCCATCCTGCTGCTGGTACTCTTCGTAGCCATAAGCTACGTTGGCATCGGCCAAGTAGCCGTGCTGATCGACAGGTGCCTCCAACGGGCCTTCGCTGTATGGCATGTAAATCTTTTCTACCGTATGGTAGACTCCGTACTGGCGGAGTAGGCGCTTGACCTGGAAGCGGTTGACGCTGTACTTGAGGTTGCCAATGTAGATTCGGCGGCCCTCAGAGATGGGATCGTCGCCAGCAGCAAGAGTAGACTGGTTGTGGCCAATGACGGAGCCACCGTTGTAGTTGTTGGCGTAGGAGCCAACAACAGTGTTGCCGCCAAAGTAAGTCTTGACGGGCATCATTCTGCCATCCATGGTGGTGGTGGCAGCAGCAGAATGATAGCCGTAGGCAGTGGCGTTGTGGCCGAAGACGACAAGGTTGCCGTCATCAGGGTGCTTAGCAGCGTCGGTAGACGACTTCTGCTCAATTGCAGTGTTGGTGGTGCCCTCAGCCTTGGTAGAGACACGATTCTCTTCATCAGCCTTGGTGGCCATTGCCTCCGGGAGAGAATCCGAGGGGGAGGGGTAGCTGACCGGAGCTTCCGAACCGGTACCCGGGGCCGGAGCCAGACGGGCAACGGGCTCGGAAACCGAACTCTTGGCCGGAGTAGCAGCGGCAACAGCAGAACTGTCGTCCTCTGGCATGAAGTCAGGGGCTGAAGCTCTCAAGTTTGACATCATGAAGAATTGAGAATTAGCTGGTGGTGTGGTGTGGTGGTTTGTTTGATGCGGGTGGACGAGAATGGGTTGAACAAGTCAGGAGGGACTTGAGAAGGTGAGTGGTGGAAATGGGTGTGAAGCTGAAAGGCACAAAAGTCGTGTGAATTAATGCACTCGAGTTGCGTGGGTGGATGGTGAAGTGGAAAAGGTGAAAGCTTTGTGGACTGGGAAAAGTCTGTGAATTGATAGAAAGCCTCAGGACTTGGGAGGGCCTGAAAAACTTCACCACCAGCACTAAGCGGGTCTGGCAGAAAAGTCCAGCTGGGCTGGGGGAAAAAGGCTGCAGAAGAATCTTGCGAGGGTGTGGGTTGCCAGGTAAACAATCCTGCCTGAAGACGACACAATCTGCCTGGGAAAATAGAGCTTGTTTGCCTTGAGCCTGGATATCGAGAGTCGTTTCAGATCAGGACAAGCAGAGTGAATCGTTGTCTGCCTAAGAACAATCTGAAGGAGATGGAGATGTCGTGAAGTATGTGATGCCTGTAACCAAAGCAGTCATGTACTTGCCCAGTCTGTGAGAGAGAATGAGGTTGAGAAAAGATGGTGGATTGGACGGAAATAAGTAAAATAAAGTTTTGAAGCCCTAGCTGAGTCAAACAGGCATGGCCAGACAGGTTGTTGGTATCTGTAACTGTTGACGACGAGTCCAAAATATGGGATCTTGTCGACGACAAGTTCGAAACGTGGGCTAACATTCCTGTGAACACAAAGCTGGAAGTGTTTCAGAATTGGCCAGTTTAAAATGGGGTTAACAAATGCTCACACCCTGATGGATTGTTCATCTGGAACTATCAACAGAGATGAGACCCTCGGGCAGTCCAGACTGACGAATACTTCCATGTCCTTGAGGCTGCTCAAGAAGAGAAGACGGAGGTGAAAGTGTGAGGCGTGCGAATGGCGAACGGTCTTGAGATTTTGGGCAGAATGCCCATCGTCGAGACGGCTTACCAGAACTGCCAGTCAGATGTACCCATTTTCGCCGACATTGGTAGCTTTGCCCACACCAGAATATCTAGGCAGCCAGCCTTGTGGGAAAGCCTTTGCATTTCCTGCTGTGACCCGCTGCCATAATGACTGTTGACCAAGGCCTCTGGGTCCGTGGTTCATCAAGATTTTATCGTCGAGCCTCTGAGCTCAAACAACCTTGACAAGTATAGCAGTTTCGGGCTTCACCGTATGCTGCTCCGTAGAGCCGTATAGAGCTGGGTGTATTTGAATTCCACACGTCGAATGCACAGACTCTGAGCTTCTTTCAGGGTAATCTGTAGAACCACCTGATGTGGACATCCTGAGCCAGGCTTTGTCGAATCTTTTCTCACCATCAACACTGACGATGCAACTTTGCAAGTAAGTCCGGTGGTAGGTCGCCTCACGCAGCCCCTCTGCCAACACGTCTTGTCGGCGTGGCGACCTTTTGAGCATCCGTGCTTCTATGGCTCAAAACTTGGTACATGGCTCGGGTGGCCTGGGTAGCATTTGTTCGGAAAGAGAATATTTCTCAATCTGGCAAAGAAACAACATCGAGCATGGACCCATGGGACATTCGTCTCATGGGAGCGTCCCCGAAAGAGACCTGTTGGTTTTCCCATGTTCTCATGACGCAATTCAAACCAAAATCTGGCCAGCTTCGTTCTCAGGGCGATTGCTCGTGGCATGTGTGGAAAGACCGGGACAAACATACCGGCCAGGATTGCCATGGGATGTCATCCTGTAGACTTCAGTACTCTTGTCCGCACACAATATTTAAATATAATTTCCAAGATTGAAAGCAGTCGCGGAAATATGCCATTGTACAGACTCGTGAAACGCGCGCTGTTTGTTGTACAGTTGTATCTCATCCTCCTCCAAGCAGCCATGTTTGTCCGCCCGATTTGGAGATCTCCTCATGGAAATGCATGTTGCCCTCGTGGCGTTCCTTCCTTGTTGTGACCCAAATATCAGCCCGAGACTCCTCGCTTATTTTCTTTTCCGTTCCGCAGCATCCATTTTTTCCTCCAACGCCTGAACGTACTTGCTCAATCGCTGGCAGCTAGCCTGGAGGGCCTGTGTGGGCACAAAGAGAAACTGGTTAGCAAGTTGGTCCAAGACAAGAATCAGTATGAGCAGATTTGCAGTGTAGTGGCAAGAATCGACTTGGGGGGACTTGGTTGCGCGGAATCAACGAGGACGGAAAAGACCTCTCGGGAGGGAGCGGAAGAATCGATGCTTTCTCGGGCATGGGAGAGCTCGGGAATCTTCACAACGTTCAAAAGTGCCACAAGATCCCGTAAAAATCATTGCAATTGATCCATTCCCGTGGACACGAGAGGCAGGAAACAGTTGTGGTAGGTATCAGATGCAAAAGCGTACATAGATATCCTCGGTCAGAAGCTCGTTCGATGCTTTGTACTCTTGCAGAACGTAGCCGTAGACGCCAGCGCCGGCAAGGGTGCTACCGAGCAGGAAGCCGAAGAGACTGTTGAGAAGAGGTTCAATTAGTATATACCGGACATGCAATTGGCCTCAAGGAAGAATGTCAAGAGTCGTACCCTCCGCGGAAAGCGCCGACGGGCTTGCGAGCGGGCAGCGCGACGGTCGCATCGGCAAGCTTGGAGGTGGTCGAGCTGAAGGTGCGCGTGGCAGTGGTCCGCATGGGGTTGGAGGCTGCAAGGAGGCCACGGGCCCCAGATGAGATCAGACGTGAAGACATCTCGAATCGTTGTCGTTAAAGGGGCAGCGTGCGGTCGATTCGTGGTGGTGTTGTTGGGTTGGTTCGCTGGAAACGATGTCGGTCGGTTGGTCGGCTGGTGGCGGAGACTCTCAAACTGGTGTTGAGGTTCAATTGGACGTGTCCTAACTGCAGGGGTCGAGCTCCGGCAAATGCTCCAGTGACGAGGACCCGATTTTAGTCGCGTGGATGCAAAGACCTCGGAACTGTGATGCAATGCAATAACAAAATGCACCAACCCCAGACTTTATTCTACAATAATGCATTGTCAATTTCACAGGCGACGGTTATGGGAAATCAGTATAGTACGAACTACTCGATGTGGCAATTTGAAGCCTTAAATATTGTCCATACATCATGCCATTCTTCAGTTGCATGTATCGCTACTCCACACACAGCGGATATGTTTATAGCCGGTCTCGTTGTACGTCTTATACGAGAGCAACCACTTTCAATTTGCAGTCAATCATGTTTGAACGAGGAAGAAATTCATTATACCTAATGCTAAACTACCAACGAGCCTGCATTTTATTTTTCACCGTGTCCCAGAGCGGCCTTCCGCTCTAAGCTCCGCTGATCCGAGCAGAGCATGTAGATGATAACGTTACAATCAAAAGGGTATTAGTCTCGCGCCATTCGTTTACAACTCGTCGTGGGTAGTCTCCTTGGCAGCCTCGCTGCTGGTGCTCTCGGAGGCAGCAGGGGCAACGGGAGTCTCCTCAACGGCCTTCTCCTCAACCTCGGCCTTGTACTTGCCGTTCTCCTTGACGAACTTGATCAGGTCCTCAACGGTACGGGAGCCGCTGTAGGTAACGGGCTCGGTCTTAGCACCAGCGGGGTAGAGCTTGATGGTAGGGAAGCCCTGGATCTCATCAGGGACGTCGTTGGTAGTGGCATCAACCTTGGCAATGACAACCTTGTCCTTGAATTCGCTCTTGGCGTAGAGGGAGGCAAGATCATCGTACTTGGGAGCAAGAGCCTTGCAGTGACCGCACCAGGGGGCGTAGAATTCAATCAGGACATCCTTCTCGTCGTCAAGAACAATGTCGTTGTAGGACTTGGCAACGACGACGGTGACGGGGCCCTCCTGAGTCTCGGGGATGGGCTCAGACTTGATGCTGGGCTCAACCTTGCCAGCGGCAAAGTCATCGACAAACGACTTGACAGAGGCGAGCTCGATCTTCTTCTCAATGTCGAAGGGGAACTTCTGGTTCTTGACGGTCTCCTGGATGGCAAACGAAGGGAACTTGTCGGTAGGCAGGTTCAGGTTGCCAGCGTGTGCACCAAACTGCTTGGCATCAATAGTGGCAAAGTTGATCTTGCCGCGGTACTCCTCAGCGAGAGGCTTGAGGGTCTCGGCGAGCTCCTTGCGCTCCTCGGGAGTCTCGGCAAAGATGTAGGCCAGGGGAATACCAGCAGACATGTATCCAGAGTAGGTCTCAGGACCGACCTCGCCAACCAGGGGAGTGCTGGCCGTCTTGGCAAACTTCTCAATGGCCTCAGCGTCGAACTTCTCGGTGAAGGTCGACTTGCCCTCGTCAAAGGTCTTGTAGAGAACGATGGCAGGGGCCTTGACGCCCTCAGCCTCGGCGAGCTCAGCATCACTGCTGGAGCCGAAGGGGTATGAGTCGCGGAGCTTCTCTGCGGTCTTGGTGAAGACCTCGCTAGATTCCTTGTCGGCAGCATCTAGGTATGCGACGAGGACGACCTTGTCGGTGCTCTTGAAGTCGTCGAGAGACTCCTTGGTTACCTCGGAAACGGCGGGGAGCGACTGCTTGATCATGTAGGATGTGATACTGTGATTCATTTGTTAGATTCCAACTGGCAAAAGAGGCTGTCACGGTTTGGGTTGGTTCACTTACGCATTAGCCTTGCGCTGACCGGAGTAGGGAGAGATGTTCTCCTTTCCGCGGAAGACCTTGAGGGTAGGGTATCCTTCAACGCCATATGTTTGGCAGAGCTCGGACTCCTCTGTGCAATCAACCTTGACAAGCTGAATGTTTTTCTCCTTCAGCGTTGTGGCAGCCTCCTCGTACTCAGGCGCAAGAGCCTTGCAGTGGCCGCTGTGATTTTGTGATTAGTATCTCATCGGTCGGTACATAAGGGGTTAGTTTGGTCGATGGAAGGCTTACCACCATGGTGCGAAGACTGTAGTATGGGCGTTAGCAGACGATTTCTTACTGAAATGGTTTCCATGGTTGTGCAAACTTACACTCTGCTAGGACAAGATCGTTCGATGCAATGAACTCATCAAAAGTGTCTGTCTTGAGTTGTGTGACGTCCGAAGCCGAGACGGCAGCGGCGGCAGCCAGCAGGCTGAAGGCGACCTTTCTGTACATAGCGGAAAATCTATCGTGATGCCGATTAGTTCTTGCATCTTTGAAGTGAGAAGACCAAATCGAGTAAGGTATTTCGAATTGAAAGAAGCCCCAATGTTGCTACTGAATTAGCAAGGCAAGAGGCGGCGAAAGGCCAGATATCGACAAGTGCGCCGAAAGGGCTTCTAAACGGTTGCAGATATTCGTGTAAAAGAATCCAGGTCATGTTACGTACCTCTAGCTGTCAAGTCAACCAACTTAAGGAAGAAAGAAGGTTTGATGAAGTGAATGGTGAAATGGAAGAAGTCGCTTTGAGAATCAAAGAATAGAAGGAGTCGTCCTTTTTATTCACCTGGAATTGTTCCGGGGGTGCGCTGAGTAGAATGGAGCTTGGGTGAATGTAGGGATGGGTACTCTTTTTTGGAGATGGCGATCTGTCCAGTCCAGTCCACTTTGGCTGTGGCTTCTTTGGCTGCACAGGTGGCCTTGGTTTTCTTGGGGACGCCCTTTCAACGCTTCATTGGGATTGATCTATTTATTCTTTATTTTAGCATGTACCCCTTGCTTAAAAATGCAACCACTAAAATCCGGTTGAAGGTACGATAATACAGGGTCTACTGCTGCTCCATTAGTCAAGAGGTACAGCTGAACTTTCTGAATGGAGCTCGAAAGCTGTGGCGCCGTGACCCAGAATTGCATTTCTAATCCGCTGACGGGCTGCCAGCTCGCAGTCTTGAGTGGCCCTTCCCCCCACTGCCCCTGGGCTTCTGCGGTTGACATACGGCCAAACAGCCTTTTGGGAGGCGTCGAACTTGACACCTGTCTTTTCCCAGGCGTAGAGTTTGGAGAAGAGTGAGCCGCTAAAAGAACCAACGCCAGGGGGTATTTAGCCCGATTGGGGCGTTTTCCAGGGTCCTTCGACGGCGTCAAGAGTGTCGCCTCTCAAAGTCCAGCAGGGTCCGCTTCCTGCATCCTGCATACCCCACTACGACAGTGCGGAGACTCGGAGAACTTCCCTGACTGCTGGTAAGGCGCAACAATAGATTACCTAGGTAGATTCGCTTTTTGATACGTACAATGGTCATAACGAGCATGCTTTCTATTCTCTTCAAGCTAGATAATTTACATCTTGAAAATAACTACCTCATCACAGTGCTGGGAATGTAAGCTTACATGTGCGTTACGTATCCAGCTGGAAGGGACTTCCTTGCAGACCAGAGGCTTTCAAGCCCTGCTGTACTGTCGATTCATGCTCAACTGACCTGAAGCATGATTGGTGCTTTTTTTATACCATCGAACACTTTCCGTGGACTACACGTTATATGATGATACTTAATCTACCTCATGCCCATGTTTACTTCCCAATTGAGACACTCCGAGTGGCTTTTAGTCCAAGACATTTTGCTGCACTACCTCTATGGCCTTTTTCTCCCCGGTCATTTCCAATCATACAGGACTGACTATCAACTTGTATATAATGTCAATCCGTCATGCAAGCAGACTGGCAAGTGAAAAGCTCATGGACGAAATCAAGACAACAAGTAATACGCGATTCCATACCGCACAATCCGATCTCTTGTATCTACCTATCAGGCTGAGATTACATGATTTCTAATCCACGAACTGGCCCCTTAGCATCGACTGACGGAAGGACACTGCCCACTATCGTACCTTCTTTTGGCCGGTTGAATACGGATTCGGTCCCGTTGTAACGCTAGCGCTGATCCCCCCATGGGTCGTCGACTTCAGGACACTTCTCCAGAAACCAGCCTTGGCGATGTCCTCGATTTAATTTACGTGTAGGTACTATTTCCGCAACAACCCGTATCAGCCTCGTGTCCTTTCTCGTTGCCAATATATGAGCAAATGCATCACGTGCTTTCTGTGTACTACACTACTAGGTAACTATTTCAGTACACCATTGTTACAATGTGATTCAATTGATTGCAGAGATCAAAGATATCTCAAAATTAGCCATATCGGAAGTAGACCAAACGCCTAATATAGAATCTAGAAATACTGATCAAGAATGTCGTTTCGAGGGTCATGTACGAAGTATGGTTTCGAGCAACACACGCATAGAGACGCGATCACCTGTTGCTGAGGAATTGCACGCATGCACTTACGCATGCATAGGTACCTATTATAACCACAACTCACATCACCTGGAAGCTTGACGCATAGTTGTATTGGTATAAAGACAAACACGCATGTCAATTTTCTCAAGATCAAATTGCGGCAGAAAGAGAGTCTCTTCTTGATTTGACCGGGGCAAACGACGGCCGATTGACCTTCCTATCGCGGACAAGTCAGAGAGGGGCAACATGGGCACTCAGCATTACGGCATTGTCAGTAATAAACATCAACAACACTGGTAGCATCAAGCCTGACATGATTTTGTACTATCGAGAACTCTTGGATATCTTGTGAAGTCCGAAAGCTAAAGTGTGGGGATTCGCGTCATATTATTGTTCCTGGTGGCCCGTTATTGATTCGTCGTCAAAATGACGAGACGAGACCTCGAACATCAAGACCCGCGTGAGTCGACTTCGACCTAGGCATAAGCCTGATGTTCATGAGTTACTTATAAACGATAGCAGTCTACTTTCGGAGTTCTTCGGCTACGCCAGCAACAGCTCCTCCCCCAAACGCTCCGTCACAGAAATTCTTCTCGACGGCGTTTGGAATCGCACTGAGACCGAGATCCAGCAATGATATGGAAGCAGACGGCGGCAATGACGAGATACTGGTGACCAAAAAGAAGTACTACACAATCATCAAAACAGATTTGCTCATTCCTGGCGACGGCGATCCTATAGAAAAGGCAGCTCTCGTGATTGAGAGGAAGATTATCGTCTGGGTTGGGTTCGAGGCTGAGCTTCCAAGGCTGTATCAAGACGCTCCCCATCGAACTTTCAAGATGCATTACACTATGCCAGGTCTTTGGGAGGTTCACTCGCATTTCGGTGGTGAAAGCCCAGACGATACTGAGTCTGGCTATATAGCCTTTATTGCAACGCACCCTGCATCAGCAGGTGCTCGTCTGGCAAAGGGTTGTTGGGAAGCGCTACAACGCGGCTACACATCTCTCCGTGACGTTGCCGGCCTGGGTTGCGAAGTGGCCAAGGCCGTAGATGATGGCTCTATCGTCGGGCCGAACATCTACAGTTGTGGTGCTGGCCTCAGCCAGCTGGCTGGCCATGGTGATATACATGATTTGCCCGCTGGAGACATAATAAACAACATTGGTATCAAGAATGTCCAGGCCGGCCACTGGGGAAGCGGATCATCCTTGGTCATTGATGGGGTTGATGAGTGTAGACGAGGGGTGCGTCTGCAGATTCGTCGTGGTGCGAAATGCATCAAAGTTATGGCCTCGGGTGGAGTTGGATCTCGCGACGATAATCCGCTATATGCTCAGTTCAGCAAAGAAGAGCTCGATACCATTGTGGCAGAGGCCAACAGGCAAGGGCGCTCTGTTGCTGCGCACGTCCATGGCAAGCCTGGTATCTTGGCCGCAGTCAGGGCGGGCGTTACCACTGTAGAGCACGTTTCATTTGCTGACCAGGAGTGTATCGATCTCATCAAGGAGCGGGGTACCATCTATGTAGCAACGCGTTTTGTAGTCGATTCCCTCATCAAGACGGGAGGTAAGGGTATACCCAAGTCGACCTGGGAGAAGGCCAAGCTCTGCGCGACCAACCACGAGGCTGCGTACAAGCTGGCTATTGATAATGGCGTCACGTTTGCTCTTGGTACGGACACGCCACCAGGTTTCAACTGCGCAGTCGAGCTGGAGTACGCCGTGAAGGCGGGAATGACAAACTTGGAGGCTATCAAGGCTGCAACCGCCAACGGTCCTCTGACAGTGGGCGCCCAAGCACCAAAGACGGGTCAACTGAAAGAAGGTTACGAGGCTGATATTTTGGGGCTTACTCAAAATCCCGTAACAGATGTCAAGGTGTTGCAAAACAAAGACAACATCCAATACGTGTTCAAAGGAGGGAAGCTCTTTAAAGGACCTTGTGTAGGTCCATGGGGCGAGGATTATGTTTTGGAGTAAAGCATCTGGAATAAATATGCCAGCTCCGAATGGTTATCCAGGGGCAAGGAGATGTAAACATGCCCCGGAAGTGATTTCAAACTCTCAGGATATGCAACCAACATTATCAGTAAACAAACAGAGCTGAATCTATCTGACGCAACTTTATTGGAAGATGATGTACTGGAAGTTTTAATTTCGTCAATACTACAATGTACATACCTACATTGCGTACAATAATGTAAGAACTCAACGCTGGTCTGCTCAAAACAGCGCTTGAGAACCTTCCAATCCAACAAAGCAAACCATGATCGTGACTTCCTTCGAGGTGGTAGAGGCTTACCGAATGTGCACCCGGACATTCGAAATAACCGCAATGAGCCCCTCTCAGCTCTTTCCTCCATGCCATCATCACATGCAGCACCTTCTCTCTATCCAACAACAACGCTACCCATGATCCTCGCGTTTGCAATAATCTGACCCCAGCAGCGCGGCTCGCGTCATCGATCCATTCCGACACCCTTCAAAGGCCTTCTCTTTTACGATTCTCTCAAGTCTTACGGCGCTTGGCTGGTGACCTTTTTGGATGCCTGTATCAAATCCGACAAGACTTTGGTCTGTCTGCTTTGTTACCCAATCCTCCTCCATCATTATTTCCATCAATTAATGATCCAGACTGCACCGCTCTGAGCACTCCTTTCCGTAAAATACGTAGGCGGCGCCCTACTCTTCCATCATGGAGAACGAGCCATGCCGCATTCCCCGGCGCTCTCAGAGCCATGGCACCCTGCGGACCAACTATTCACGCCACGCTCGCCCAGCACATAAGCCATTAGGCAGAGTCAACGAGAATTCTGCTCTGTTATCTTCTTCGGCTGCCTTGGGGGGCATGTTGAAGACCACGACCGAAACTGGTGACATTGGTCTATACAGCATCAACTCAGTACCCAGTACAGCTTTCGGCTTGGCTTCTGCATCCAGAGGTTCTGCAATGAGAAGATACCCACCGCCTCCTCATCGTCGCCCCCCTCGCTCATCAATCGATGGATCCAGTCGTCCTGAAAGCTACAAGAGAATTCACCCGTCAAATCGAGATACCACGTCTGAAATCATCTCCATGTATGGTTCCAACAGCCAAAGTTCAGTCACAAGCACCCGGGCCACATCGTCGGATGAGCATGGGCAGCGATCGCAATCCATGACCACTGTCGGATCTAGACATTTATCGCACAACAAGTCCAACGCTACTTTGCAAAGTCAAGCAAGCTCGGGGCCTCTGCAGCGACCTCGATCTCCTTTTCCATATCCTACTAGGTTGCGACGACCAGGAGCTCGTCCAGTCTCGCCTGCTGTAACAGAGGCTGGAATCGTGGACTATAGTCGCATGGTGGAAATTGACAGGATTTCTCTGGTATGTAGCTTTTTCTTTTTCTTAATTCGATTTCGAGGTGTAGCTGAGCTAAACCCAACTTCAGAGAACAGGATATGGCCCTCTCAAATCGACGTACCCTCATGCTCACCATAGACCGCCTTTAGGAGTTCGCCCTGAGGCAAATCTGTCTACACCTTCTCTGCACAGCCATAGGCCGCCTCCTATGCGCCGGCCTCCAGGGACCCCATCTCTACGGACTATATCTGCAGCTTCAGTTGCATCGTGGGCTGCAAGCAATTCAAATTTCCCAAGCAGAGTTGACAGTTACTCATCGAGAACCTCAAGTCTGACCTCTGTGGTCAACATGTATTATCGCATGCCCCCTGCGCTCAAGGCCGCACATTTGGGTAGCCTAGCTCCGCCTCCACGGTACTACGACTATACTGAAGAATTCGAAACCAAACAAATACCAGCGGAGCCACCGATCGAGCGTGTAGCCTCTGTTACGACCAGGGCACCAACTGCCGTTCAGTGCCCACTCCCGTTGGTCTTGAGAGAGGGATCTGAGGAAGAACTTGCCAACATCTTTGGAAGCCAAATTGATTCAGCATTTGGCGAGGATGATAGCCAACCGGACGAATCTCAGGCCGAAACGGAGCCCCATCTGTTGAGTGATGTGCAATTCGAAGACCTCGTTGCAAATGATCAAACTGCTCCACAGGCTCAACCTACTCCGGACACAAGCGGACAGAACGAGGGGCTCATTTGCAGGCCCGCACTTGGCCCTGAGAAAATGAGCAGAGGCAGCGACATTGATCTGCTGCCATCTCAGATTGGCAGGTCATCTGTAGACACTTTTCGGCCTAGTCTAGACATAGAGTCCAAGGGAGCCCAGATCTTCGATTATCCAAAGTTGCGCCAAAGTGTGTCTCAACAGACTAATACACCGTCGCCGGCCCGGCAAGTCCAAGTCCATGGCGGCAAAACCCCAACAATCAAGAGTGAACAGGGTGTCATATTCAGGGATTATCCGGATGAAGGTTTAGCGACGCATGATGAGTGCAGACAAGATTGTATTGACGCCACACAGGAAGTTGAGGATGCCCATATGGATCCTCTACGAGGTCCGAGTAGATGGCTTTCGAGATCCGACGCGGCTCTGGAGCATCCCAATCCGACTTGTGATGAAAGGGAACACTTTCAAGATCCTCGGCGCTGCTTTGCAATAACAGATCCCGCAAATTTGGATTGTCCCTCAGCCACGAAGATTATCATGCCAAAAGGTTCTTCGGAGAGAAGCGAAAGCTCTTCGACTCCATCGAAAGATCCGACACTCTTCAACAGAATCCTTTCAGCTTCCCCGTCAGAGCATGCCATTATCATCGAGTCTCAACCAAGATCAGAGAGTGCCCAGGATATGCCACTGGAGAGTAGATCTAACAACAGGCGACAACGGGTAAATCTGAGGCTTGAACTCAATATGGACTTCCCATCACAGGAGGACCTAACTACTCCACAGCTTACACCATCGTGTTCCTTGACACCCTTGACTGCCCCCAAGCCCATATCGCCAGTACGAGAGCTGAGATTGAAGAACAGTATCCCACACTTGATGAAGGCGCTACCACCACTTCCTGGCGACCATGGGTATGTGTCACCGTCCCCCTCAACAGTTTTGGATGATGAGGATGAGTACACCCAGATCTTGACGCCTTATGTAAGCTTGGACGATCGCAACGCTGTCCGGAAACCAAGACTATCATTCAGTCTACGTAAGCCTTTGCCAGACATTCAGAAGAAGCTTCCAAGGATCCGTTTGAAGTCAAAAGGGCCCGGTTCGGTACACATGCATACAAACAGAGAGTCGAGACCCTGGAACTCCGATAGCAACTATCCTTGGTGTAATGACAGTCCTGTTATTGAGCTGGGTGGAACTCCCATAGGAGAGTGCCATCATACGTCGCTTGGACGGCGACTCAAATTGAAAGTTCCCCAGGACTCACCAGCTAGTACTGTACGCCGCCATCCCGAGGCGCACCGTTCAGAGCCTATTGAATGGATACCCTATGAGCAGCCACAAGATCTATTCAGCTTCTCGAATGCGATCGGGTCGGCCTTTCGCCAAGCCGGACGAAAGATTTCCCAAGGATCAACCCAGACTTCAATATTGAAGAAGAATCGGAACGTGTCATCGCCATTAGTCCAGGACAGAAGTGATCAAAAGTCAGCCGTGACGTCTTCCGGGAACACGTCGACCCTGAAGCGAAGGAAGGAAAGGACTAATCTTGCCAGAAGACCCATTGTGGATCGAGGTTTGTCCACAGAGCAGCATCGGGGACTCCGGAAACGCGTCTCTAATCTGAAGTGGCTTTTGACTCGTGATGTAGATGTGAAGACATACCATCAAGCAACCGAAGAAACGAAGCTTTTGCATTCGGAGAGACAGGACGACCTAAACAGAACGACTGGGCTGAACACTCTCAAGGTATCAGGCGACAATGTCAGATCTAGTCAGCCTCGCATCAACTTTGGCGACGAGAAGCCACGATTCAGAAGACGTGTCAAGGCCAAAATTTCAAAATGGATGCGAGGAACCAGAGTTGCCTTGGTCCAAGTTCGCAGGAGTACTCGTATGGAACCAGCCCTATAAATTAGAATGCTAGTTGCTGCTTCCATCTCTCGATAGCCAGCATCCTTGGTACAACTTTGTGCTGCGCTTTCTGACTTTGCGTCAGCAAGTTTGTAACAGGGTTTTGTGTGTTTAGCTCGCAGCAAAATTTTGGAAGGAGGATTTTTTTTTTGGGCACTGAAAAGCTTCGCTATCTCGTTCGTGCGGTTCTTCGCAGCTAGTACAGAAGTTCTCACCTTCCATTAATATTGACGTCCACTTGGTATAAGCCAGGAGACTATGTTTCCACACCCTAAGGGACAGTGGCTGTCGTTTGTTGTCGGGGAATAGGGGCGTGGCGGAAACTGTAGTTGCTTATATGTACTGCTTATGACTCAAATATGACTTGTGGTCTTAATTCGTTCGTTTTCCCACCTAATGTATGCTACCGTGATGTTAATTGAGCCATTAGATATTCCACCTCGCCGGATGTTGCTTGAGTACCACCTAAAGTCTTGATATTATAAGGTACGGTTCTCGGGATTTCGAGCACTTCTCCTAACATGTTACTAATAAGGTAACATAGCCTGCCCAGAATGAGTCAATATAATCATCTGCTAGTAGAGAATGCATCACAGACAGGCACAGAGACTGGATTTGTCGACAACTTCCCTTAGTTGCCGCCGAACTTTTCTCTCCGGAGTCATAGGCTCACCATTATTTTGACCCATGGGTTATTCATTGTTTTTTTTTTCTTATCAATATGCCTCCACATATAATTTCCGTCTTAGGTTATATATATGAAACTACAAAAAGACGAAAATTAAAGAAAGGTATAGACTTCGTCGGAGTAATATCACATAGCCCTTCCTCCTGTATGCGAGATGGGATGGTGTATATTGTCCCTTCTCAGCCTGATGGGGATGGAGTCCCTCAAAACCTGCCCTAACACTACCCCCTAGGCGCTCCTGTACCTAGCAGCCTTGAGTCTTGCTGCCTTGAGTCTTGCTGCAAACATTATTTATAGAAGCCCCTTCTCTGCTATTCTTCTTCCAAACCTAAGTAGGTAGTACGGGCTTCCTGGCAAAGACCTCTTCACTCTTCAACGCTCCAGTGTTCGACACACCGGATAGCACCAACCTATCGAGGTGGACGGGTGCATTTGAATTTCAGTACCACTTAATTTCCCACCTGGAACACCGCAAATGTCACTCCTCTATCGTCCGTAGGCTATTATAACCT